AAAACTAAAGGAGAAGAACCCCAAGGTAAAGCTGTTTAACAATTGCAGCTATTGAATAGCATGTCTGATGATTATACCAGCAAGTTTCAGCTGGGTATACTTGTGTTGGTCTGTAAAAAGCAGAGGAAGAAGTAAAACTACAGCATGTCTGAAAATAAACACATGAGTATATATATATACTCCTGATCACGCCTGTTTCAAAATTTTGATAAAAAAGGCAAATATAAAAGATAGGGTTGAAGCAATTAATAGGGTTAATCGATTAATTAAAACTAATTTAGTTATAAATCAAGAATGTGAACAAGAGTAAACAAAGTCTTTAAAAAAAATGTTATTTTCTAAAAGAGGAAATCACTCGGAGTAGAAATTAAATGAAAAACTGGACAAAAATATGAAAATATTCCATTTAAAGTGAAACACTTTGTGAATAAATATGTTTTATGGAGAATTCTTCAAGTGGCAGTTTTTACTTCATCTGGTTCAAATCTGGAAAATAAATAAATATCCTCCTATTAAGATATTATTTAAATTATACACTTTTTTTCAAATATTAACAAAAATAGATGTACAATATTTAACAAGCACAAAGAAAGTGTTATGAATAAAGTTAAATTTTGATACCCGTTATGGTCCATTTTCTAATGAGCTGCATACAGAGCCACCAGAAAGTAGGTTCAGACTTTGTCCTGATTTGGCAATGCTTAAATGTATTAAGTACATTTTTCTTCCTGATTGTTGAATGGGAGGGAAAAGCATATATTATTAGATTAATCTAGTAACCGGAAAAACAAACAAGAAAACAGATTATTTGGTTACAAAATAATCCACAGCTGCAGCCCTAGACAGAAAAAATAATAATAAACATTATTTTCAGTTATAACTATAGGGTAAGTTGTGGTTTACTGTTAGAAACATAGTATATACTTTTTTGTTGTTTGTTTTAATATTTACACTGAAGCTTTCAAGGTTGTACCATGACATAAAAATAACAAATCACTAAATTAGTGTATTCCTAATAAAACAAATTAATTAACAAACAGGCAAGAAACAATTAAAACCGTATGGATACTAAGCAAATTACTTTTTTTCATAAAACTGATTGCGAAACTACTGATATTTAATAAAGCAGCAAGATGTCGTCGTCCCCATCATGACTCTGCAAATTAAAAGCTTCGTTTATTTTGATAGAAAAGCTGGGCGGAAGTGCCAAAGGAAACGCAACAAAATCACATTTTATAGGATAAGGCTCATCTGTATCGATGAGTTAGAAATTAAAAAAGAAGAAATAAAAGAGCTAAAGCTTAGGAAAAACACTGCTAAAACTACCATGACCTGGTACTGCTAGTCTGGGTCACGCATTGTGTGTAACAGTCCCGACCCAGATTATGAAACCGGTAAGTATCCTAATCAGCACATAAACACTACTTTATTGGCGATTCACCATTGTGTATTATTTTGTGTGTCATAACAACAACAAAAAACATGCTACAAAGCGAGTATTTCTATTAAAGTTTTGTTAAAATGTATAATAAAAGTTTAAACCAATCAAAACGCTTATATTCTATATAAACATTTACATACAATCATATATAAAAGATCTATTGTTTTTTTATGTCAAAAAACCTCACGCTTTCTCATTTATTCAATGAGGAATAAATAGCACTGATGGCAGATTAGCGGTACTTACGTTGAAAGTTTTCTTGTCCAAAATAGCACACCGGGCCATATCTCTCTCAGCTGTACAGCTCGGCCTAAGTTCCCCTTTATTCTGCTCAAAATCTCGCTGGATTCATCATCTAGCCTATCCGCGTATGGTAAAAGTTTGTTGTATACAATGTCTTTCTGAGGAATAAAACCCAATGTGTCCGACTGTGCCTTTTTCATATTACTTCAAACCGGCTAGCTTCGTTATGCTAGCTATTTATTTCCACTTCGGTCAGGCTAACGGGGCACGTTTTGTCTGCTACCCGGTTCAAATAACGGCTACCCGAGTAGCTACTTTCCCGGCTGAAAAGTGAGGTTAATGTGGCCCGCACAGTACCAAGTTAGGAGACGCTAGCTTGAAATTTATCCAAGTTACACTCACTCCTTTGAAAAAAACAACACTCCCGACGTCATTTAAAAAAAGGAAATATATGTTACCGGAAAACGTAACGTTAAGAAAAATAAAAACTCATTATGACCGGTATTATTCTCGTTCAAGCAACGTAATTCCAAGATATTATGCTAACAGTCTAGCTAAAGTTAGCTCTGTACTACAAAAGCACTGTCATAGCCCAAGGTCTGTCAACGTCAACTGATTCATCCAACTGCTGCAAAGCTTCTTCTTCTTCTTATGAGATTTTATGGCGGTTGGCAAACTTGTGAAATGTGCATTACCGCCACCAACTGATATGGAGTAAAGCAAGGAAACAGGAAACGATTCACCCCCCCCAAAAAAAAAAAAAAAAAAAAAAAAAAAAAAAAAAAATACAATAAAATAACCTGTGTAACTTAAACCCACATAATACTAAATTATACTAAATTACATTTGCCCGTATAATTTTAATTTACTCTAGGTCATCGTACCTCTGCCAGTTTCTGATGGTCCCATTGGTCTTTCCATCATGCTTCCAACCATCTCCCAGTTCATATCTTTAACATCCAGATATTTTTCTGCAGCCTTCACTATTATTTTGATTTTTTCTGTTTTTTTTGTCGTCTGAGCAGTACAATTAATCACTTCCACCATGAAAAGAACAAAATTTGTCTTTTTAACAATTAGTGAGTCTTCATCAATTTTTGGAGATTTCTCTAGAGGTTTGAAATTTGCCGTGTGTTGAACTGTAGGTTTGGGTTTTTCTGACTGAGATGGGATCCTTTTTGCAGCTTCAGCATAAGTTATTCCAAGCTCAAATTTCATTTTTTTTATTTCTTCAGACCTTTTGCTTGCTTCACAGCCGCGATAAGCAGCAGTATGTTCTCCACCACAATTACAGCATTTTATTTTAGCTTCTTTTCCACATTTACCATATTCATGTTCTCCTGCACACCTTCCACACCTCTGTTTCCCTTTACAAACTGCTGCAATGTGTCCGAATTTTTGACATTTGAAACATCTCAATGGTGGTGGATTGTAGATTTTGACATTGTAACTGATGTAACCGATGAATACTTTGCTTGGTAATTGCTCTTCCTCGAATTTAATTAGTACAGATAAACTGTCAGATCTTTCTCCGTTTCTTGTTGTTTTTAACCGTTTTACTTCTTTTACTTTTGCACCGCTTATGTTTTCCAGAATCTCTTTTTCAGAAATTTTCAGAGGAACTCCTCCAATGACTCCCCTGCTGATCTTTTTGTTCTCCATTAGGCTGCACTGAACTCTTATCCCGTCAATTTTGTTAATACGTATTGCTTTGCCTTGCTGGGCGCTGTCTCTGCAGTTAATTAGCAGGTCTCCACTGTACAGAATTCTGGCACCTCTGACTTCTCCAACAAGTTTATTGATGGTTTTTGTTAAGTGAACCGGATTCCAGTTTGTAAAAGAGTCTGCCTGATTAACGACTTTGAATATGACTTTGAATTCATTTTGTTGTGCTGTGGAATGTATGGATTGATCATCACTGGATTGTTCTGAACTAGATTCCCCTTTAACTGATCTCTGTTTTTTCCGCTTTTTCTCATTTTTTGATGCTGCTATCTTCCAACCTTCATTGTCACTATTTCCCTCTTCCATCCCACAAGAATCGCTTCCTGTTTCCTCACTACTCACGGCCCAGGACATTTCTCCACAAGCAGAGCAGCTTCAAAACACGCGCCATGCACCAAACGACCAACGTTCCTCTTGCTCCAGCTCCTTAACGGCTAGTCCACATCCTATTCACAACCATCCCTGCTGCAAAGCTCACTGCAGACGATGATGGCTAGCTACCGGTGTTCCGTCGAAAAAAGCGCCACGGCAGGTAAAGGAAAGCTGAGTTCATTAAAAGTCAGTGCAGGGGTCAGAGTTTGCTATAAACATACTGAATAAACAACTTTTCATTTCAAACAGATATATAATTGCGTCAATAAATAGTTACTTTACGAATAATAAATAACATTTACAATACATGTTTTTATTTAAGGTACATATTAAGCGGTAATATTGTATTTTCTTTCGTATTTGATTGCTAAATATCAGTTATTTTCTAGTTAATAACCACAATTAAAAAGGCGCAACTTATTTCTTTATTACAACTTCGCTCAAAATGACCTGTCTTTTCTACAACGACGAGGTGCTCATTTCAGGCTGATTACTTTTTCAGCACAACACCTGCTGGCCCGGCGCCGGCTACGCAGTACATGCGTCATATCCGCCTGCTCCCACGCGAACTACGCTTCCCAGAACTCCCCTCTCAAGTCAAGCTTATTAATTAATGCCCTTTAGTCCATTCAAACAGGATGATCTACTTAGTGGTGTGTCCTTTGATGTTTTTTTTTCTGAGCTACAAGATCAATTTTTTTCTAGTTTTATAGTTTTTTTTTTTTTCTTCAGTTGTGGGGGCAGTCAAAAGATACAACTAACACGAAATATAAGAGTTTAGGTGTCTGTACGACAAGTGAAACCTCCAACCAACCGGAAAAACACTTTCTATAAAAACATTTTCATCTTTGGTCAATTTTGCGGTGCAAAGCAGCAAAAAAACAGCCGATTTTGACCACTTGCAGCCACTGGCCGCTTTAAGAAAAGCCATTGAGTGCTTATAAATGAGCAATTGCTGCCACCTTGTGGCCAAACGGGGACCCTAACGTACAGATCTTATTAAAGGATGTGTCACTCGAACAGTATTTCCAATCGTTTCAAATATAGACTATAACTAAAAAGTAAAGCAAACAACGAGATAACGTAATGGCATTTATGCACTAATAGAGATTTATTAACTGTATTGAGAATTTGAAATAAACAGTTAACAAGAATGCGTAAATTTGCAGGGGATCATCTCCTGTTTTTGCACGATCTTTTGTAGCGGAAGTGTGTCTTAGCAACGCTGTTTTGTTCCCCCCCTAAACTCGTCAAACCCCTATCAAAGCAATATTGCACTTTATTTTAAATCACTTTGAACCACATAATCCGTCACTATTACACAACAAGTGTGAGGTTAAAATGATAGATGGAAAGCTGAGTTTGAGTCTGACTTGTGACAAACTCCTGATTAATCAGCAGCTCGCTTGCTGCCAGTCCTATAGTGGCATACCTCAGCATGGTAAGAATGTCCTACTTTACAGCAACAAGCAGACGCAACAAAAGGTTTGTTAAAAATTATTCTTTTACATGTAATGGATCTTTTTTGTTTCATTTAAACCACTTAACATTAATATATAACGACATAGACCTATATAGTTTTGCTTTAAGTCTAAGGAAAACGTGAATAGTTTCTTCTTATCCACAGCCCCTGGTGCTAACAGGTCACCACGATGACATCACTGCCATGACCTTTGGGAAAAAAAGCAGCCCCATTATTCTCTGTTCTGCCTCTTCTGATTATATTATCATCTGGGACATTGAAGCATGTCAGAAAAGAAGACAAGAGGGTAAAACTAGTTTTTTTGTGTACGATAGTTTCTACTTTGTAATCCTGTAATACGAATGCCATAGAGTATTGTTATACTAATGATTTTCTTTCCACATATGAATGTTTTACCTCACAATGTTTTCCCAAATTTGTTTAGTAATCAATTGTTTATCACTTGGACCCTTTTGTTTCCAAACTTCCTAAAGAATCAGTTTAAATAGACTTTATTATTTGTTTGCAGGTAAACTTGCTGCTGGAACAGTAATCGGGACTTTACTGGGGAAGGTTGTACATCTCTCATTCTGTTTCTTTGATGAACGAGTGGCTGCATGCTCAGGAACAACCCTGCATGTTCTCAGTTCAAAGGTACATAAGTATGGAACCAAATAATAAAATATTAAACATACAAGTAGCTATGAACAAATACCATTATTCGTGCATACCAATGCATTTAATTCTCCTCCATTAAGTATAGACACAGTATTAATCTCATGAACATTCTGCCAACTGGACACAGAATTTGGGCATATTAGTTCGAGAGCTATTGTCACACATAGTTAAACACACTTATCTCCACTCAAACAAATTCTTTCTTAGTCTTAAGGGTTATATGTTGTAAATGCTGCTTGTAGACAGTCGATTTTCACATCACATAGTGTTGGAAATGCATTTTGTGGCTTCAAATCTGACTTTTGCTTTTGTCTCCTGCATCAGAGACAGGAAGTGATTCACAAATTAAAGGGTCACCTTGGACCTTTAACATCTGCAGAGTTCTGTCCCTGGAACACTAATATTTTAGTCAGCACCTCAGAGGATCGAACTTTTAAGGTGCTTCTATGTGTGTCTGTCTGTATGTGTGGGTCTATGTATGTATGTGTGCATGTATGTATGCATACAATTTTTGTTATTTGTTTTTTTCCTAATGTTTTTCAGGTTTGGGATTTAAAAACTGGAGGTGTTTTTTATCAATCCTTTGTGCTCTCAGGTAAAATACATTACACTGATGACTGGAGAAAATGTATAACCCAACATTTATACATTTATATAGATAGATAGATAGATAGATAGATAGATAGATAGATAGATAGATAGATAGATAGATAGATAGATAGATAGATAGATAGATAGATAGATAGATAGATAGATAGATAGATAGATAGATAGATATGTATCTAGTTTATACGTGGTGGGGGTTGAGCGATGCTCTGGATTAAATTTGTAAGAAATACTTGATACTATTTATATCTGCCATGGGTGAGATGTCCAGTTGTTGAGGTTATGATGAGTTTATTTTGGGTTTTTTAAATATATTTTTGATACCTTTTTCCCCTAAATAAATGAAATAATAATTTTTTGTTTTGTTTTTTAGAATAACCATAATTTGCTTTTTTTTGAAGCAATATGTTAGGGCATTTCAAAATGAATTAAACTAATATAACAATCTTTATTCTTTTAGGATCTCCCCTACTTAGCGTTTTGTTCTTGGAGAGGGAACAGCACCTTATCACCGGCTCAACTGATGGACAGGTTAGTGATGGAGACAGATCACACCAGGACTCTCAACATTACATAGCAACCCTCCAAATGTGAAAAGACACCTTTGTTGTAGGTGTGGTGCTTTTCTTTTAATGATGACGTTAAATGCCACCTTGTGAAAAAAATGGACCTTCAGAAGATGGAGAAAAGACATGGAGAGCGCCAGGAGACTGTAAGCCATCAAGGAGGTAATACTATATAACCATATGAAATAGCCTTACAGCTATTTTCCATCTTATGACTTGTGTTTAAAGTTGTGACCACAGATTTTTAAGAAAGGGGAACAGAGAGAGTGTTCCAGCTATTACAGGAGCAACCTTTTAAACTTCCTTAGAAAAGTGCTATGTGATAACTTTACATTTAATGCACAGCAAACAAATGTTTTGCCATTAAATGCTGTTTTAACTTATATTATATAATTAAATAACATTCAACCTATTGTGTGTAACTCTAACACTCTTGACCTAACTAGTAAAACTCAACTGAACTAAGATATTACGTACCCCATAATAAGAAATGAAAATGGTTGAAAACATAATCAACAAAATGATGCAGTGATATTTACAGTGAGGCATGGATTTTATGTTTCAGAACATACATTTATCTTGAAGATGTTGGAATGAAATCAAGTGAGCTTTTAGCTAATTTAGAGCAATTGGAACATGTTTATACCAATTCACAATGCAAATTCGAGGTAAATTAAATGTTATTTGGTAAAATAATATTTAGTTAAATCATTTGCCTAGATACGAAATCAATAACCATTAAGATAACTGATTCTTAGCCCTTCTGAGGGGGCCACCCAGTGGGAATGTTAGCACCTTAGTTTGGAAAGCAGAGCAAAGCGTTTTACTCCACCACTGTTCAAAATTTCTTTATGGCTTATAGAGTGACAAAGGCATACTCAAGTATTAGGAATGAGGCCTATTGGATTGTCCAACCTTACATTTTTCTACTTTGATACAGACTGTGGAACAATTGAGCAGATCTTTACAGCTGCTGAATTTACAAAGAGGATACGATTGTTTAGTTATATGATGCAGAACTGTTTCGTGGATATGGAGAAAACTAATACTCTGTTCCTGGTGAGGGTTTAGAGGGAATCACTGTGTCCAGATTCTTTACAGTGTAAAGTGTGCATTGGACTGATCCTGTTTGTGGTGTTAGTGGACCTGATATCAAAGCATAGCTGTGGGGAAGAGGTGTCTGGTTTGGTTCAACTTTTCTTTTTGCATAGAAAGGGAGTCCTGTGGCATTTTCCGACCATGACCTTCATCCTGTAACAAAGTATTTTGCAGCTATGTGAAGCATTTTGGATATCAGTCAGCTCCTCTAAGTCAGAATGTGTGGTTCTCAGCTAGCAAAAAAGGGGAACCTCAGGAGAGACCTGTAGAACTTGGTGCCATTTAGAGATTGTAGAACTGTAACACTGAGTGGGAAGAAGGGTGCCTTGTTATTAATTATATGTAATTTTTGGAGATTGAGAGAGGTTCAGTAGTTAGTTTTTTATCTTTCCAGGTGTTGCTGAACAATCAGTTATTGATAAAGTGGAAATCTCAAAGCCTGTCATCACAATGGCTTCATGTGAACAATTTCCAGGAATCCATTTCAGCCAAGAAATGTAAGTACAGTAAAACCAGAGTAGTTACAGAAGTTTTTAACTTTTTTTTTTATTTTTTTATTATTTGGTTCCTTCATAGCCTAAAAGGACTGGGAAATGGTATTTGTTTGATTATATTATTTATCTTATATCCATTTCCGGATAAAACTACTAATTAATTTTATTTCCAGGCTTCTTTATTATTACATTTAAAAAAGAGAAAAGCAGAATATCTAAAAAGAGAAACATGTTAACAGCTAAGCTCCATCACATACGTTAGACTTTTCCTCCAAAGCCTACAGATAAAAACAAATGTTGATGATGAAGTCTATTACTAAAGATACTATCCCTATATTAATCCTTTTAACCCATTGTTGTAGATGTATGAACAAGTTCTAAATCCAGACTTTGACTTAGACAGATTTATTTTGTCATTTTGTATACACAAGCGTATACAAAGATAAATTTCGTTTAAAGCAGCTCTAGACAATTTCATTTTTTAAAGTGCAGCCTTGAAAAAAGTAATAAATACATAAAAAACAATAGTAATATAAACATATTACTGCATATTTACAGTTGTAACATTTTTTTACATCCAGTGCTAAATATTACGGTGCTTAAAACATCACGTGTGCACCCAGAAAAATACACGGCAGGAGGCCTCAGTCACACAACATATAGTATGGCAGTGAGCCGTGACAGGAAGTAGGCACTTAAAACACTATATTTTTATATCACATGTGAAGGAATTGACACTAAAACCTAACCCATCTTAGAAAAGCATGCAATCCCACAGCAGTACTTTAACATCTTTACTTTCAATAAAGCCTATATGTAAAATCCTGCTGCAGCCGCTGTGTTACTGGCCTTCTTTTGGTGACTTTAAACATACTGAAGTGGGTTTTTTTTTTGCTTGGTCACATCTAGTTTGTAAAATCTATGCAACTGGATGTGTTAACTGCTTTATGCTATACAGAATTGGCATATTTGATAATTTAATTATTGGACTTTCCTTCACACATAAAATCGGTTACTTTTTGATCACTAACTGGTGCAATTATCAAATTTATTTAGTATGAGTTCACCCATGAGAGCTAAAATTGTCCCAGCATGAAAATAATGATGTACTTAAATGTAATTGTCCACAATGTTATAGCCTTAGCTGTAGCTGAATGAAGATAAAACAATGATCCTATCTACTCGTCAAGGCTTTCCATCTTCCAGGGTTTACATAGTCTAGATTAGATATAGTCAAAGGAAAATTTACTACAACGTACAGCCTTGTGGTTGGCCTGCCTTTGCAGTCTGTCAGTGCAATGTGTTTTTCTTTACTATGTGGTTTCTTTGTCATTCCCAACTGAAAGGAGAAAAAAATGCATTAAAGGGAAATAGTGTAACATTAGTTTTCCATATGCTTCTGTGTGGGCCCTTGCAGAAATAACAGCTGGCTTTGTATTGGAAGCTCCAATGGTCTTTATGTGGTGGAGCTGGCTACTTCCGAACTCCTAACAGTGCTGTATTTCAAAGGTAAGCTGCTGGGGGTATCACTGCTCCACTGCTCCCTTTTTTAGGTAAACATGGTAAGATTAAATGAACTGTCGCACATTTCAGTAAAATACAAGACGAAGAATTTTAGCTTAACTTTAAATCATTTCAGAGCTATGGTTTTCAACTGACTGGGCTTCTTTTAAATAAAAAACATCCATATTTCCACTGTCAATATAAAGAAATTACTTATGCAACTAGGCAATAGCAACTAGAGATATGTTGTTCTGGAGTGTTGCTTTTTTGGTCATTGGAAAACCATGCTGATATCTACTTTAATTAACCCTGATATTCAGACTTGGATATTAAAATAAAGTCTCAATTCTAAACATAAGAACCTAGTGGGATTTGGTAGCTGATACACTCAATGAGCCACTATGAGCAGTACATGGTAACAACAATATATTTCTAAACATTCTTTTGCTTTCAAACATTTCATAAAAATTTTTGCTAAAATTCCTTGTTTGGTACTTTTTATTTGACAGCTTTGATGAAGTTCAAAAAAGTTAAAGCTGCAGTTGCACATTTCTCTAAATCTTGCACCAGATTTGATATAAAAGGCAGCCATATTGGATTTTTAGGTTGGTTGAAACGTCTAAAGGACCCATGACTCCAATGAGATAGCTATAGGACAAACACATATTTCAATGCAAATGTGCAAGAACAAATTTTTGTTTGTTTTGTTCATTGTTGTTACATTATATTATTAACTAACAATCAGGTTTTTTTATGATCTCTATCTTTATAATGGTATTTCGAAAACCCCTATTGGTGATCGTTTCAAAAGATTTGAAAACCAATGATAATAGCTTTACTGGGCCAAAACGTTTAATTGTTTTGCCACAAAGATAACCATATATGAAAAGCTGTCAGAAATAGCTTTTTTGCTGATTGAACATGTGATCAATAAAACAAGTCCAATGAGTGGTTTTCTTTTGATACACATGAGGTTTGATGCATATTACCTTGTGATTTGTGTTTAAACATTCAGATAACCCCACCCTGAATATCAACATGGTGGGTTCATGGTCAATCCCTGCGGTTTCTGAGTCTGTGAGTAATGATGAATCAGTACCTGGATGTAACATAAAATCCCTATGATAGAGTGCACTGTAAACTTGAGTTTTAATGAAAGATTTCTTTTAGATGGTGGTTCTGGTGAGCTCTTTGTTCAATCCACATGCTGTCCTGATAGACTTGTGTTTGAGTGACCTAAAGAAGACAGGAGTAGGTGATGGAGGCTTTTCTGTCTTCCCAAGGTAAACCTGAAGTCAAAAGAAAGCATTTATTTGTGTTGGTACATAGACTATAAATAGATTTCCTTCTTGAATGTCAGCTTTTGAGCCAAGGATATTCCAACCAAAATATTTAAAATATTCCATCTGAATTTGTAATATTAGCAAAGTAGGCCTGCTTATAAGATACTTTGACTTATGAAAAGAGGCAAACATATTTTGGAAATAAGTATGCAGAGTCATAAATACAATTATGCATTTTCATGATTTAGGAGCACCAGCAGCGTAAAATGATGAAATGTCTGTGATTAATTAATTAAATGTATGTGAAAGGTCATATCTGGGGGGCCTAGCGTGACTGTAGGGGCACCTTGGTTGGCAAGGTCTAAGATTGTAGTCTGACCTCAGCAGGAGTTCTCCATGACATATGAGGAAAGCCTATTTACTGGGTCACCTCCTCTCTAAAGGTTTCCCTTGTTCAAATATTTCCATATTGACTTATCCAATTATTGCCAGCCATTGCAGCCATCTGGTTTCTTATGAGTCAACAAAATTATGGTACTGTAAATTAGGGGGACTAATAATCCATAACGATGGAAAATGCTTTACTTCTCTGTTTCCAGTAACTCAGTCCCCCTGTTTCCCTCCTCTCTCGTTTCCAGTTCTCCTCTACTGCTTGAATCTCCTTTGAATGCTGAGTTAAAAAGGAAGGAATCCAGCCACCCTAAAAAGAAAGGTCAGCAGCCTCGCTGTTTGAATGCTTATGATCTTATCTAACTACAAATACTGTATCCTTAAAGGCAATTGCAATATTTAAGTCATGTCTCTAAAATAGAATTTGTTGTTATATCTGATTGGCTAATCCAAGAGCTTCTGAAAACCTTTTCCATTATCTAGTTATATTAATACTGCTCTACTCTCTGTTAATCTTGGCCTTACATTCCTTGATGCACAAAACAAACTTTAATGCACTAATCCTGTCTATTTTATATTTTACATATGTGTTATCCAGTATAATAGAGCCATCTGAGCTTGTGCTGAGGCTTACATGCTCCTCATAGAGAGTTTATGCTGACAAAGCCTCCCCACAGCTGGAGTGCAGAGAATTGCCAGTGTCAGACTACATAGGGGATCTTTTTTATAATTGAGAAGTGCTGTGTGACTGAAACATCCGAGCAAAAAAACCCACAAACATTTACAGGCTAACCTCCAATTCTTCCACATGGATCTCCATATTCTTTAAAGGTAACTGCAAAATCACAGACAAATTACACCATAAACCCCTGAGACTCCTGGAAAGGAAAATGTTTCCCCATTGTAAGTCTGGCACAAGTCTGAAGGAGCTCCTTTAAAAGCGCTGTGAGCACAGATTTAAAGGGTTTTCATTACTGGCTGGCTTTTATGATAATGTTCTTGATCCGTCCTTACTTTTATGTGATGTATAGTATTAAGTGTGTACTGAGGGTAGTTGTCTGAACTAAAAGTCCACCTTGAAACATGTTGTACATATTGTTGCACAATTTGCCAGTTTGCATGGTCCAAGTTATAACAAATATATAATATATCCAGAAACGTCCAAAATGAAGAGATTTGTTCAAAAAAAATAAAAAAAATAAAATAAAATTTAATAAATAAAATTTAATTTAGAGCATATTAGGAAGCAAGTAAGGGATGCAATTAAGAAAAGGTTTTAAACAGTTACCAGTAAGTATTAAACCGATCTATTGAAAAATTTGCTGAGCAAAAGTCAATCAATCATCTGAAAATAGAAAAATTATTGCATAGCTGCAACCCAACCACAGCATTCCTATCCATCTAAACCAGGGGTGGCTGATTGTCAAAAGAACAGGACCCAGTATTCAAGGCAAGTCAGATAATGGGAAATTTCAAAATGTTTAATGACAGAAAAATAATAAAACAGAAAAAAACGGGACCCGGGCTGCTGAGGATAAGCGGAACCAGAGCGGCTGCAGGAGGGGGATGGGGCACCGCCCAATCACTGACACGCTGGAGGGAGAAACACAGACAAGTGACAACTATCATCTGACAGGAGATAATTTTCTGAGTGAGTCATTTAGCTGGTTTAACAGTTCAGTCCATCCTGTCCGAGGAAGGAAGGATCCAACCGATGGACTGCCAAACGAGCTGCGGCTCAGAGCCGCCCCAGGTGTCCCAGATGCAGCAACCTCAGTGAGGAGGCGGGAATACGATCTAGGTCATAGAAACAGTTCAGAACTGGACAGTTCTGAGATCCAGGAGTCCGTAGCCCGACCAAGGGTTCTGATCTGAATGGGAATAGACAGATCCAGGGTTCCAACATGAACCAGGGACTTAACTAAAACCAATGAAACAAACATGAATGACTGACTCGAAAACATAAGACAAATAAACTAAGAATACACGAATAAACTAAGAACACATGAATAACTAAGAATACTAACGAATAATAATCTGGCCCTGATAGCTGGGCTGAAGCGTGTATATATAGCAGAGGTATCAGGTGAATACAGGAAATTATAATTCTAGAGCGGGGAGGGAACGGCAGGTGAATGAAGTGGGTAAACAGATAAGCTAGCGGGGATGCGCCCACAACACTGATTCCAGTTCTTTAGAGCTGATATCCTGCAACTTTTAGATGCGGCCTTGGGCTAACACACCTGAATTAAGTAATTAGATGGTCAAGTGGACCCTGCAGAAATTTGCTATGTCCACCCTAACCCATAACCCCTCAATTACTATATAGAGAGGGGACGATATAGTGGACTCTATAGTGAACTCAGTTAACTGACCATTCGGAAAAATTATCACTACTTTTCGCTCCCTATTAGTCACATGTCTCCGGCTCCTTGCATGGTCTTTGGTCTTTCTCACCTCAAAAACTAATCTCATGATACTTGTCGAGGAGAGCTTTTGTAAAGCTCTCTGTGATAGATCTGCTCATCTAGTGACCATGAATGCACACTACTTTTCAAGGTGCATTGTGGGAAATTTTAAATCGACTACTTTTTCATCTATTAGCCATTCAGGCACTCATATAAAATGGTGTATCCACTATATATTGCCCTATATAGGGGTTAGGGCAGAAGGGCAAAGCATCTAAAGGTGCAGGAAGCTGGACCTCTAGGACTGCAATTGATTAACCCTAACCTGAAAGGTTCAGAACAGTTTGAAAACCATTGATTGTAAGAGACATCACAATTGTGGAGAAAGATGCTCTGGTCAGAGGAGAATAGAACCCTGTGAGAATACATACAACTTTTTACGTATAGTGTAAAGTATAGGGACATTAATTTCAACTAGTTTAGTTTCAACTCTAAACCATGTTAAATTAAAACTGCCTGTTTTGCAGTATTTACAGTTGTTAGACTGAATGCTTTTTATTTTTTCTAATGGTTACTGTGTATGTCTTTATATAACATAATGGCAGCCCTAATTGAAGGATATCACTATCCATGGTGATTTTATTTGGATGTAACCGCTTGAAATTTGTCTAACGGTCTCAAAGGGCTTTAAATAGCATCTTAAGTGTCAGCATATACCATGTAAACTTTGTTGGCCAATAAATCTTAACAGCCATTTTATAATCAGTAGGCGGTCTATGGATTTGTTGAGAAATTCCAAGGAATTACAATGTCAGGTAATTGGATCTTTTCACTGTAAAACAACAGTTTTTTCCCCCTCATATGGTGTGTTTTGGATCGAACAGTGTCCTTAGTTATTGACTGACTGTATGACTGACTCCACTTAAATGTCTGATTAAAATATTCTGATATTTTTTTTCAAACATCAGGTAAATATTACATTTAACTAAAGTGAAAAAATCAATTAGGATAGTTAAGTAGACAGAACAAAGGATAATTATAAACAAAACCTAATGACATTCTAAAAGAGGCTTAAGTGAAGTTTTAATTCTAAATTCATACAGGATTAAGACAATTACCCTTTTATGTGATTCCTTGCACCCATTATATAGTAATAATGAGGTAAAAACTGTTTGCTGACATGCGTTATGGTTTTAATTAAATTGAACATTATTGTTTAGAATCAGTCGTTGCATTTAATTGAAAGATGCACATCTTTTTGTAATCCATAATAGATGTGGAAAAAGTGAGCTCATGCTAATGTATTTGAAACATTGACAACAAACACTGAGGAGCATAAAACATCCCGCAGGTTGTGGCTGATCTATTAATGCTTCCAGAACAGTGAGATCATCTAATAATTCCAACTCACCCTTTTCTTGTATAATCCAGGAAACGTGCTTCATAATAATGGGCTGAAGCAAAAAACAATCTGCCCTTTTTCAACATTTTTTAAACAATTCTTAAAATGCCTGAATCTTGTTTTTCTTTCACTATTGTATGTAAAAACTACAGTATAACACATTTCTTTTCAAGTATATCTTTGTAAAAAAAAAAAGTATTTAGGTTGACTTATTTCTATGGATAATGCAAATCAGAAATTGCTATTTCCATTTCTTTCAAAGACAGGTTCCCATGTACTGTATGGCAGTAAGTCAAGGATTTATTGATGTAAAAATTTTGGTCTGAAACATCAGTGTGGACAAGTTGGGAGTTTTTTTGATAAAAAAAAAAAATTAAGATTAGTCAAACTTGTCTTTTAAAAAGTAAAACTGTAGATAGTGAGATATTATTTATTTTCGGCATTGTTCATCTGCAACCAGGTACGGTAATTAGTCCATATCGGAGTCAATATCAGATCCAGTTATTGGATTGGAAAATCTCTGTAATAGGACTGGAAAGAGATAGTTTTTTTGATTAGTATAATGCTGTGTAAATCCAGCAAATTCCAGCCTACAAGCAGAACAGAATACAGAAATGTTGTAAACCTTAACATGGTTCACCTTCAAAATTCCTCCAATAACCAATCTAGGACGCCAAATAATGAGTACTTGATTGCTTGTGCAAAAAAATTGCACACAATATAGTATTTTTACTGTGGGTAAATTGCTAAGATTGTGTGCACAATCAATAAGAGGTGCTAAAGGGGAACGCACCACCGTAATGGAATTAGGACTTAAGATGTGCTAGTGACGGTAAAAGAAAGATGAAGTTCGCAGCCATGCAGTCAACGAAACAAATGATAATATAAAATAATCACAATAATGATAATTAGAACATTGAATATGATTATTTGTATTGCAATTCAAATATATGGATCTCAAATTAGTAAAAAAAATAAAATAATGAAAAACATGTATATTTGATGATGCTACGTTCACACCAAACGCTTTTGGAGCAGCAGAAGCAGCAGGTTTAAATGCAAAGTCGACTGTTGAGGCGCATCAAGATGCTTCAAAAGGTCATGCAGAGCGTCTACAGCAGCAAGAGCAGTGCATCTTGAGTCGTCTGAGTAGAAGAAGCAGCGCCTCATGAGCTTCTGAGGTGCATGATGCCCTTCACAAGCATGCAAGAGTTAGAAAAATATAACTTTTACTGCTCGACGCGCCACATCAACCAATCAGAGAAGCTGATCTGGGAGCTGGCAGGGAGACAGACCCAGACCTATGGTGGCCGGGGAGGTGCAAACCAACATTATAAAATCTAAAATACTTTTACAAAGTTTCAAAACAAATTATCATTTCAGAAAACAAATGTACATTTTAAAAAACACTTTTACAAGTTCCAAAACAAATTATCATTTCAGAAAACAAATTTACATTAAGAAAAAAATAAATAAATAAGCAAAACACTTTTAAAGGTCAGATCCGCCTCTCTGGCTGCAATGCGTACTCCCGATAGGGGGAACAGAAACAGAATTTTACACAAGACTGGTTCAGCCTCAGAGTTTGTTTTCTGAAATTATAAATTTTTTTTGGAACTTGTAAAAGTGTTTTAGATTTTGTAATGTTGGTTTGCACCTCCCGGCCACTGTAAGACATAGCGCTGCTGATACATAGCACTATGTTCAGTCCTCTGAAACAGGTTATTAACACCTAATTAACTTAACATTTTAAAACCTGCCAACAAAATATGTTCACTTTTATTATTCTGCTGCCTTGCAGTTTGTGTTATGTATGTTAAAAACGCAAACATCTACTTCCAGTCGCCAGCCAGCGGAAAACCCCCAAGAGGCAACCTGGCCTGAGGCAGCTGTTGCTGTGGTTTCCCAGTGACAGCACACCATCAGTATGTGGGGGTCTGAACGTCTCAGACAGCGAAATAATATTTTAAGGCAGGATCATCATCTTGATGAACTGACTGCATAGATGCTGTTTTGAGGTGGACTTTCTCACTTAAAAAACATATTAAAAGTACTTTTTACACACTTATAACAGCAAATATAGCAAAGCTGCTCTCCGCCATTGAACACAGGTGCAGCAAAATCATCAGGTGCATCTTGACACACTTTACTGGCTGCACTTCAGGAGCATCAAAGTAGAGCAGGGAATATTAGCCCGAACCCGACGGGACCCGAGAGGTCCTGCCGGGTTCGGGCGGGTTCGGGCTGTACTTTTTATTATTTCATTCGGGCCGGGCTCGGGCTTTAAACCGTTATATGCGCGGCAAATAAATTATCATGTGATAACGTTCGATCTATACGCGATGAATGCAAAATGGATGTTACAGAAGTGAAACGGAGATTAGCCCTTAATGCGCACAATTGAAAAATGTCGGGCTGCAAACGGGTCGGGCTCTACGAAGCTGTCAATCATAACGGGCCGGGCACGGGCCTGGTTCTTTCGGACTCGGGTCGGTTTCGGGCTGACTTTCAAGGCCCGTTTCATGCTCTACATCAAAGATGCTGTTGAGGTGTATTTGACCTTTATGTGTACAATTTGCTGCTCAAATCTCGTTTGGTGGGAAGGGAGCATTATTTATATAGCACAATTCAGTACAAAGACAATACAAAGTTCTTTACATTAATTAAATAATAGAATAGAACTAAAGTTAAAGCAAAATAATAGCATGTAGAGATAAAAACACTATAAAAGCATGTAGTAAAACAAAACAGTTGGGCCACAAAATGAAACTAATGATACCTCAGTTAACAGTTTAAAAGACAGTCCCTGATCCCTCTATGGCCCTTTATAGCATCCATGGTGGTTTGTTTTGATACTGATGTTTAGTTTTGCTTTTTTACAAACATCTATCAACATATCCACTGCACCAATGAAAAAAAAACAAAAAAAACATCACTGATGGTAGACTGGGCATTTTTCGCAGTTGTCCACCCTGTTTATGGAATGAGATCCTGGAACACCTGAGACTACAACAGACTGCTAATTCTTTTTAAGAAAGACCTGAAAAAACTTTACAATTAAAATCTTAACCTTCGTTTTAAATCTCCTTTTAATGTTTGTTAATGTGTTTATATGTGGTTAATATTTTTATTGTTACTTTGTAGCACGTTGAGATTTGCATGTAAAATAAATAAATATATATATAATTATTGTTGTTGATATTATTAGTCCTCTTGATCAGTCTGTCTCACGGGAGATTTTTTTTTTAAAGGAGGTTTAAAGGAAAAGCCTCTAGTTTTTCACTCCAAAGTGAAGTCATCTGGATACACCACCAAGCCAAGGTATAGTCAGATATATCTTAATATATCTCTTTAATATATCTATATTGAAGGATACATTTAATTTCCCCTCAATATTGTCAGAAAAAGTTTTAGAAAATAATTTTGTAATAAAACAAATACAGTGTTTTTATTGCATTACAATGATCCTTATTATAGCTGGCTAATAATTATTAATTAACATTCTTTGCATTTTCTAGTCTCTATTAAAACATATTTCTATATTTCTGTCTTTCAGAATGACTATGTTTTCACCACAAACTAATACTCAGAAGAAAACACCCATTAAAAAGTCACATAAACTTCTGTAAGTATTTAACTGTACTTCATTAGTTGTTCATATGTGTGCGTCTCATGAACTATAAAAACATGTTTATCTTTTAGAGACTTCCTCCAGAGTAACTACCCAGAGGACAGTGCAGCCCCAACTGAACAACGCATTGAACTTAACATTGCAAACAAGCAGGTCTCATGTCTTCAGTATTCAGGTGTGTTACTTCTGACGGCTCATATAGATCAGCATATAATCAATAAGGCAGTTAGCCTGAAACATTTGATGTTTCATTAATCGTGTTCCCCGTTTTACGTTTCTTGTTTGATTTTTTTTTTTTCATCTGTGCTGCTCACTATTGTAATTTATCCATATTGTACATACATTAAAGGATATGCTGGTGAAGATTCTCAGTCATCCAGGTCATAGTCATTCTGAAAAAGTTTTAAAAAAACAATCCACTGGACTTTGTTTCTAAGGTTTGAAGACGTTTCGCTTCCCATCCAGGAAGCTTTCTCAAATCACAATTTTGATGGGAAGCGAAACATCTTCAAACCTTGGAAACAAAGTCCAGTGGATTTTTTTTTTTTTACTTTTTCAGAATACATTAAAGGATTACTTCAATTTTGATCACAGCCAGACCTTACACAAAAAAAAATGTACTATAAAGTAGAAAAATAAGAAGTGACTGTGAGAATGTCTTAAATTACACTTGTAGGACTAGATCTTCTTAATACAGTAACACAGTACTAAACATTAACAAACACCATGGAACTTGATGCATTTCAAAATAGTCTGTAACAGCTAGATAATGGTTAGTGATATATGGTTTAAAAAAAGAAGGATAATATTTTACTTCCTACTCTTTTTTTATAGTAAAAAAAACACACAAAAAAACCTGCTGAATATTTTTTTCTTGTTTTTGTGTAGGCAGAGCACATCAGCGGCAACAAACATGCACACACAAAAATATATATCTGTGTTATTTTTTTTACGAAACACTATTAATTTCTAAATTCTGGCTGATGCTACAAGGTTGCAAACCTTTTTGAAGCTTCGATGCTCCTAAATAGAACATACATTCAAATACAACTTCTGCTGAGTTGTTTTGGTAGTTGTTCATCTACTGTCGTACTTTAGGGCTATTTATAGCGGAAACTTAACTCAAAGTAAGAGATAAAGATACATTTAAAAAAAGGTGTTAAAAAAATATTTATGAGCCCCAATCTCATCACTATAGGGGAAAATACCAAAATATTTCCTGCATCAATATCTCAAGAGATTGGCTATTTGGTGGGACATAAAAAATAGTTCAAACTAAGCCCAGAAAGGCCTAATCGAATCATCTGTGTTTCTAGAACACACCATTAAGTAGACCCTATACTGCATACCAAGTCTGCTTTTTCTCACAAATGCCTTTTATTCTGTTTTTTTTTTTTTTTTTACTTAAAATCATAGCTTCTTTAACTCTGCCTGTGATGTTTTGTACAGAGTGCATGATAGTGCAGTTTTGACCATTTTGATGCAAAGTGCGATTTACCCTACACTACCTTATCTATGGCACTACCCTTAAAAATGGAATAATAATACAAACATGACTTAAAAAAGTACATTTCATTTTGGAATTCCCATGTTTGACGATGTATGTTATACATCTAACTAGATGAATTTTGTGTTTGCTTTGCTTTTTTTTGCCTTATCACCACTGAAAGAGAGCAAACAGATGCACCAACCACCGTATTTAATGCAGCTTCACTGCGACAGGATCAAAACTAAAATTTTAAATATATATTTTTTAATGTGGCTGCTCTAATAATACTTATAAGATAAATATATGGTTCCTTTCTTTTCTTAGGTGATGGAAAACAAATCCTGTGTGGTCTTGGCGACCGGACAGTGTTACTGTACAATTCCAGCCTCACTGGTAGTCCAACAGCTTTCATAGGTGAGAAGTGTTCCAGGAATGGTTAACCTCTGCTTTGCTATATTTAACCTTCACTCACTTAAGTGCTTTCTTTTCAGCTGTGGATTTGTGTTATGTGCCATTTATGCTAGACATACCAGAGTTACCTCAAATTATTTAAAGAACAGAGTGTCTGGTCATAAAGCAATATTCAGTTTAGAAGCTGCTGTAATGTCTGTTACTACGACTAAAGATGTTGCATTAAGCTGAAATCTGTTATCTTGTTTCACTCTTGGTAGTTTTTCTCCCTGGGCCTATTTTGAGACTGGTATTTTATAAACAAAGGCAAGAGATCCACCTTTTAATTTTTTTAATCACATTTCAGTCCCCATTTAAAAAGCAAATGTCCACAAGAAGGCAGCAGAGGTAAAGAACAAAAGAGGAGGTGACGCATAGGTCAGCATGAGACTCCTTTATTCAGCCTGTCTTTCGTCCAAGCAGCACCATAAAAGTAAATGTTGTGACTACACACTGTTTAACCAGATTCATTTTAGATGTGGGGTTTTGAATGTAGGTCATGACAAGCCGGTGAGCAGTGTGAGTTGGAGCCTCTGCAGACAGTGGTGGCTGAGTGCAGCAGAAGATCTATCACTGCGAATCTGGACAAAGTCTAGCTCCGAGCCTGCTCTTATCATGGTAAAAAAAAAAAAAAAAAAAGACATGCATTTAACACTCAGAACTTGCAGACACTTAGAAACTTAACTACTCTCTTGACCCACTTAATCTTTTTGAATAGTTGTTTCCATAAACACACCAGTTGGAAAGTAGGAAGGATAGGGAGTGGAAATGGCCTCAAAAGTTAGGGTCAGTTTTGTTTTTTATAGAAATTTCTCTTTTTTTTCTGAAAAGGTAAAGTTCAGTTTAAACAAAATAAAACAGGATAGATATATTATCCCAGGGTTTATTTCTGGAGAAAATTATATGCCTTGATATTAACATGTTTAAATGAGACACTTTGGTAGATAACAAAAACTTTTAGAATTATGACAGCAAATTTATAGTAGCTATCTTAACAACCCAAATGCATGCTCAAAGAGAGGTTCTTTCATGTGTGATGCTAGCTGTCCTCACATTATGTCAATTGTACATTTATTTCAAAACCTTGGTGCATGCATGTCATTCGAGTGCTTTCTGTTCATGTATAAAAACCCGGGAACAAATGGAAGTCTTTTCATGGGGGGAAGACCCATGTGGATGTGAGATCTCTGAATTTCCTTACTTGTCCAGATCTTTCTCTAACTGACAGTAACACTTAGGGATGCACGATATTGGGATTTTGGCCGATATCCGATATGCCAATATTTTAAAACTCATGTAGCCGATAACCGATATCGATACCGATGTTAAAGCTGGACAAAAATAAGTAGTCATTGAAAATAGCAGTTTTGTTATCCATTTCTGACACTTTGAAAAATAATATACTCAAATATATTGTCATATGCTGATATCAAATTGATTTTTAAAACCGCGGTATAGATCTCTTTTACTTTCAAAATCTCGTGAAATTTCATCGTTCTGTTACAAACTCTCGTGATATTTTCCAAATTCTTTTGAGATTTTGTTAGTAAAATAGATCGATACTGCGTCAATATATCAACATATAAAAATATGGCAAAATTTTGTGAATTTTCGGGGGATTTCGTAGCATAACGATGACATATAGCAATATTTCATTAGTAAAAGAGATTGATATGGTGTTTGTAAATGGCAATATATCAGCATATGAAGATATTGTGATATTTTAATGTATCAATATTTTTTCCCTCGTCTTTAGAACTTTTTAAGTCTGTAAAAAAGAAGTTTTTGAGGAAGAAGAAGAAGTTGTATTTTTTTTTTTTTTTAGACTTTAGAAACTCAGAAGCTGATCAAATATCGGGTTAAATATCGATGGGGTGGCCGATGTCCGATATTCAGTTTTAAGGCCGATAGGGGGCCGATTATATCGTGCATCCCTAGGAACACTTGTTGGGACTAAAGTCATCAGGGTTTACATTTCTGGCAGATAGGCTACAGTATACAGCAGATGTAGAAAGGTGAGCAGATTGAAAGAGAGTCCCTAATAAAGATGTTTTTATTTTCCTCTTTTTAGGAGCACTTTTTTTTTTCAATTATATTTATCTGGTTTAATGTTTGAATAAATTATATAAGTTATGGAAAAACAAATTAAAGGTTGGTTGCAAAGCTTAGCAGGAATCTAAATTGACCATATATCTTTGAAATCCACCAGATTTAATCACTACACTATGAAAACAAAAATGATGAATGATGAAATGATGAATAATGATAAATGAATTAATTATTAATTAATTATTATATAATTATTAACTATCATGCAGAATGTCCTGATTTTCATTGCACAGATATTTGAATAAGAATTTAGATAATAAAATGAAGCATAGAAAGATCTGTATTCACATAGTTGTCATTTAAAAAAAAATCTGACTCTGGGTTGTTTTTGTTTGATCAATGATTATTCCAGTAAGAAATGTGTTGTAATCTTCATCCGTCTTCCATGTTATTCTGCCCTCCATCAGGGTGACACTACGTTCTCTAAACCCATTAGAGGTGCTCAGTTTTATTACATGGACAAATTTCTACTCCTAACATCCGGACCCTCTGTCTACATGTACCTATATAACATCGACATCACACATGATGACATTAAAAGGTAATTATTACTCTTTACAATTCATAGAGGCTTAAAGTGACTTGAAAAAAGTATTCAAATCCCTTGAACTTGCTAAAATTGTTCCCAACACTAACTTCAGTGTGCTTTACTCAGCCTTTATGTGAACGACCCATTCAAAGGGCCTGCATACCTGCATTCCCTTTGCAATTAAAGCAATTGTGTTGTATATAACAGTATTTTACTCCTTTAGACCTAAAATAATCCCCTGCAATTGTCTCCAGAAGTCACCTTATTTGTAACCGGAGGCTGCATGTGCAGAAATGATACTTTTATATATGCAGTCTTGCAAGTGGAAAATAATTTGTTCCTCATCCTGAGCTTAGTCTTGGAAAACGGAGCATTCTTCATGAATGCAGAAAGAAAGTCTGTGGAACCTCAGGATGAGCTGTAGAGATAAGTAGCTAATGGGGACACAAGCATGGGGAGGAAGGTGTTCGGATTAAATGAGACCAAAGTTGGTCTTTTTTGGTAATCACCAAAAACTAACACCCTGAATACATGATTCCAACTGTAAAACATTCTTGCAGCAGAGTCATGCCGTAGTAGTTGTGCTTTTTTTCAAGCATACCCTAAAATACATGCAGAGCTGTAATAAATTGCTCAGATCAAACAATATTCATGGGTTAGAACAACTTTGATCTGAACCTAATTAATAATCTGAGTCAATACTTAAAAACTGATAGTCAAAAACACTATACAAAGAGAATAAAATTGTTTCTAAATGTGTAAAGCTGGTTCAAGCATACATTAAATTACTTGCAGCTATAATTGCAGGAAAATGTAGTACCAGAAGCTAGAACACCAGAGTGCTGAGTGTCTGTACCTCTTGTTGGATCTCAATTTGAAAAAAGAAAAAAACAATCTTAGGCATACATTTATTTTAGCTTTCTGCTTACTAGCTGCATTGTTGTGGTCTGTTTTACAAAATACAAATAATTTGAATGGAAGTCTGTGGTTAAGGTGCAAAAGGCTATGAAGGGTATGAATACCTACACTTAGCACAGTGCATCAAAAGACAACATAGAAGACAGTTGCAATGAAAGATGTTTTATGATCTGTTAGGATTAAAGTACTATTTTAGGATTTTATTGGATTTGCAGGCAGCAGATGAAATTCACAGTGTGCAACTTATTAATATAATTTCACTTGTAATGCAAAAGCTTTATCACTATGTTTATACTAATTAGGAGCAATTCTGATAAATGATGATAGATGTATAGACTTTAATAACTATTTAGGAACCAGGTTTCATTGCAGCTTAGCTCAGCATTTTGAAGTGCAGACACTTCTTACACTCGTTTAGACAAAACCGCTGCTTTCTGCACACCTGGAGGCTGATCCAACAGAATGATTGACAAGAAATTACTAAATTGTTTTCTGTGGCTTTACATTAACTAGAGATTTGAAATATGTTATTGTATTATGTTGTTGTATTTTTGATAAATGAAATGAAGTAATTGCATTAAAGAATGATTATCCAACTGAAATATTTTCATCCTAGATATAAGCAGCGGAGCGTCATCAAATTGGCAAGCTGCTTAACACCGTCAGCCTCGGACATCACAGCCTTGTCTGCGGTCAATGAATTTCACTCATGTATCCTTTTGTAGGTTTTCATAGCACTGGCAGCAGAAAAGGAAAGTCAGACCACATTGTTGCTGACTGAGTGGGTCTATAGCCTTTTTCTCAGAGAATCTGCTCTGAGAACTTCCATGTAACCCACAGCAATCTCATAAAGATTTTGCACATACCTTAAGGGCTTCCACTGCAGATTTTAGCATTTAGGTGTCTTTAGATTTTTTTTTTTCAGGAATGTCTGCATTCCAGGGCCTTGTTAGTCTTTACAGCAGTTGACTTACTCCAGTAAATTCCCCACACATATATTAAGTAGAAAGGTTTTGGATTTTTACTTTCAGAAACAATTTTGTATCCTTGTATTTTCCTTATTTAAACCTAAAGTAAAAATGGATACATTGATGACATCAACATAATGTTTTACTTAGAAACAAACACCAACATTGTTTTTTTAGCTCCTTTTTTCGCACAATTACCAAAAAAAGGATAGCTTTTAAAGAGACTTGCTGTTTTGTTTGCTGATTTTGTCAGTCTTACAATGTTTTAGATGTGTATATATAAAACATTTGGTGAAACTTGCCACAGAACAGCAAATTTAACCAAAGAAATTTCTTTAAAATCTGCTTGTATTGTACAAATAAAGCTGAATTTTAACCATTTGCATTTGCATTTTTGACGTTTATCAGATCAAAGAGTATTTTCAGTTTTTGACCTATTGATCGCCAATCAGAACCAATAAAGAAAATAATTATGACTAATCTTAGGTGTATGACTAATCTTATTTTCAATAACATTTTTTAATAAGCTGCAAAGGGTTTTTATTATTGTTGTAGTTGAGCATATCTTTTCTTAACATTTTTTTTTCAGATATTGTTTTAGTGTGTTGTTCAGATCGGTCCATTCAAGTTCTGGACATGAACAAAGGTGCCGTTGGTTCTGTGCTGCCTGACTCCCACAGCAGAGCAATCCACAGTATCACACAAAATAAGGTGAGACATTTTAAACTTGGCTCAATTCGGATTAACCACTAAATTATGTCCTCTGTAGAATATAACTGTACAAATATCAGGTCCAGCAAACAACATTTGTCTCAGCTCTTCTTCTGAATAACATATTGTAGCCTCAAATTAAAGTTACGCTGTCATAGGAAAGTTTAGATATTTGCTCACTTCTTTTCCTTTTTGATTACAGGTGCTGGTCATAAAATTAGAATATCATGAAAAAGTAGATTGATTTCAGTAATTCCATTTAAAAAGTGAAACTTGTATATTATATTCATACATTACATACAAACTCCTATATTTCAGATGTTTATTTTGTTTAATTTTGATGATTACAAATGACATTAAATGAAAATCTCAAATTCATCATATCAGAAAATTAGAATATTGTGAAAAGGTTCAAAATTGATGGCCCCTGGTGCCACACTCTAATCAGCTAATTAACTCAAACCACCTGCAAAAGCCTTTAAATGGTCTTTCAGTCTAGTTCTATAGGCTACACAATCATGGGGAAGACTGCTGACTTGACAGTTGTCCAAAAGACGACCATCGACACCTGGCACAAGGAGGGCAAGACACAAAAGGTCATCGCTAAAGAGGCTGGCTGTTCACAGAGCTCAGTGTCCAAGCACATTAATAGAGAGGCGAAGGGAAGGAAAAGATGTGGTCGAAAAAAGTGTACAAGCAAGAGAGATAACCGCACCCTGGAGAGGATTGTGAAACAAAACCCCTTCAAAAATGTGGGGGAGATTCACAAAGAGTGGACTGCAGCTGGAGTGAGTGCTTCAAGAACCACCACACACAGACGTATGAAAGCCATGGGTTTCTGCTGTCGCATTCCTTGTGTCAAGCCACTCTTGAACCACAGACAGCGTCAGAAGCGTCTAAAGAGAAACAGGACTGGACTGCTGGTGAGTGGTCCAAAGTCATGTTCTCTGATGAAAGTAAATTTTGCATTTCCTTTGGAAATCAAGGTCCCAGAGTCTGGAGGAAAAGAAGAGAGGCACTTCATCCACGTTGCTTGAAGTCCAGTGTAAAGTTTCCACAGTCAGTGATGGTTTGGGGTGCCATGTCATCTGCTGGTGTTGGTCCATTGTGTTTTCTGAGGTCCAGGGTCAACGCAGCCACATACCAGGAAGTTTTAGAGCACTTCATGCTTCCTGCAGCTGACCAACTTTTTGGAGATGCAGATTTCATTTTCCAACAGGACTTGGCACCTGCACACAGTGCCAAAGCTACCAGTACCTGGTTGAAGGACCATGGTATCCCTGTTCTTAATTGGCCAGCAAACTCTCCTGACCTTAACCCCATAGAAAATCTATGGGGTATTGTGAAGAAGAAGATGCAATACACCAGACCCAACAATTCAGAAGAGCTAAAAGCCACTATTAGAGCAACCTGGGCTATCATAACACCTGAGCAGTGCCACAGACTGATCGACTCCATGCCACGCCGCATTGCTGCAGTAATACAGGCCAAAGGAGGCCCAACTAAATACTGAGTGCTGTACATGCTCATACTTTTCATGTTCATACTTTTCAGTTGGCCAACATTTCTATAAATCCTTTGTTTTTATTGGTCTTCAGTAATATTCTAATTTTCTGATATGATGAATTTGAGATTTTCATTTGTTGTCATTTGTAATCATCAAAATTAAACAAAATAAACATCTGAAATATATGAGTTTGTATGTAATGTATGAATATAATATACAAGTTTCACTTTTTAAATGGAATTACTGAAATCAATCTACTTTTTCATGATATTCTAATTTTATGACCAGCACCTGTAATGTCACCATCACTGAAACTTTGGCCACAGTTCCAGTAGGTTTGGCTCAGAAATAGTCCCGCACATCAGCAAAAGAGTACTGTACCTGTAGTAAAAGCAAATGGTGAGAGAATCGTGTCCTGGGCTTACTTTTTTTTAAACTTGTACTTAGATTGTCGCCAACGTGGATGAAATGATATTTTTTATATACTCCCCAGCTAAAAATCTGAACATGATGATGTAAATTGTCTTTTGGGATCTAAATAGGTAACAGCATATGTCTAAATCAGCTAAAGAAAGGTATTTTTTAAGTTTTTGAACAACTGTATCAAACTCGAGAACTAAATTTGATTCTAAATTTGTAGAACTGTTTGAACAAGTTTTTGGGAAAAGAAGCATCCCCACATTTTGATGCAGATAGTAGTAGCTGCTAGATCCCTACTGAAGATGACTGAATGCAGAAACTAAATAAGATTGCTTTGAACCATCTTGTCTATGAATTGTGCTATTAAAAAAAATAATAATTTTTGTCTTAAACAGCTTAGTTAATGTGTAAGGGTGTGCTCCTGGGTTTTTGTCCCAGTTCTACATTTTTCTTTCCTTCTAACAGATTTATTCATTTTTCAGTTGAATGCTACTGGATAAACATCACATTGAATGTGGAATAAGTTTTGACATTACTCATCACAGTTTAACTATAAACTTCTAAGAGGCCGGTCTGTAAAAGCATCAGGGAAAAAAATGTATCTTCAGCTTTAATGAAATTTGTGTTAACATGCATATAAAGAACCGCATCTATGCTACTTGTTTTTTCACTAAGTTTTTACAGGGTATTTAAGAGAGGTTTTCTAATTTGCAGTATCATTAAATCTCATAGAAAACTTAAATCCTTTTAAGCGGATAGAGGCAGAGACATTTCATCACTTCATCTGCAGACCAAATTACTTGGGGACCAAACCCACAGAGCACGGAATTTGCTTGATTTGGCATCTATAAGCACTGTGAGCCCTATCTTCCATCTTACTCTTGAAGGGTCTGTTATTTGGCATATGTCACAGAATTACATAAGTCATCAACAGCTCCTTTTTTTACATGCAAGTTACGTAAGGTACAGATCGTCTTTAAGGAAATAAAAGTGTCAGTTTGCGGTATGACTGTGAAAGGTCATCATCACACATTTTTGTGGTTTTAATGACAGCCAGACAGGATGCAAAATCATTAGTCGAATTCATCTTGAATGTAAGTTACAGCTGTATCAGGATTAAAACTGTCATCTGTGATGGCAGGAGGAGAGTCCAGCTGGGGTTGATGGCCTTGGAGAAACACTTTTCCATGAGGCTGTTCCATGATGTGGGCTTATTCATACATGACTGCCTTAGACTAATGTGGACAAAGTTTGCTGGCATTTGACAAGCACACTTTGTGCAAATCCAATAGCTTTTTGCTGTATCTGCATTCATTTTTCAAGATTTCTTAATTTGTCACCGAGCCTAGAGTGGCACTCCAGTAGGGCGAAATTGCAGTTTCGGTACAGCCCATCCAAGAAAAGACAAAACACACAGACAATATACAGACATGGGGGGACGTGGTGTCCAAGGCCTTGCTGCCATAAGAGTTGCTGCCCTTATAGTAAGAAAAACCAAAGAAAGGGATTACAATAGGTCAGAGGAGGGAAGAATGGTTGAAGGATGAGAGGTGCATTTATCATCTGAGCATCAGTGTACGTGCAAAGTAAGTCCATGAAGCACTGTTCCCAGGGTCAATGTCCTTGACAGATGTAACAGTTCGTCAGCCTACAAACAATGCAACTTCACAGATCTCTTCAGAGGAGGGAGGGGGCTGAGCCTCATAAATACAGTTATAATGTTAACAAATAAAAATCCGGACAGACCGTCATTCTTTTTCATACAGCCTCTGTGAGTGAATTCTTAATTGATCCATCTTTTGCTTGAATCCGTATTTCAGGATATCTCTGCCAGCTTTACACATCTAAGGCTGCACTGGAAAAAAAACAATCTAGATAAGTCATTTTTTCTCTAAATAAGTGCATTTGTTCTTGGATTAAGGAAGCAAAAGAGACATTTTGCCAATGGAACAAGACAATTTGCATTTAAAATAAGAAAACACAATTGCATTGTCTTATTTAAAGTGCATTTTATCTAAATACCTTATTTTAAGAGTAAAAATACTCATTCCGTTGGCGGATCATCTTATTTACCAACTCAAATTAAGGGTAAATACACTTAATTTAAGACATTTTTACTTATTTCTAGATTGTTTTTCCAGTGTGACAGTGGTGTCCATTCTTCTTTCCAAGGTGGCACAAGCTCAGTCAGTCTTGCTGCAGATTTGTAGTTGGACTTTTACTGGGCTTTTCTAACATCTGAATATTCTTTATCTAAATTACATTGTATCTCTATGTGTATGTGCCAAAGCTTTCTCTACTGATGCTCCTTAGGAAGAGTGATGGGTCTATCAGTTCTGGCACCAACAGTTTAGTTAATTTAGTTTTAAATGCCCTTTGGTACTTGGAACTTAAAATCAGGAACAGGAAACTAATTTCAAACTTCTATTTCATAGTGTGACAGTTTATATGTAAATTGAATTTAAGCTTTCCCTGTTTGTTTTTTGCAAATTCATACTTTGTAGTTTATTGTACAGTGTAGGGTGACCAGACATCCTCCTTTTCCTGGACATGTCCTACTTTTCATACCTAAAAAAATGTCTGGGGGGAATTTCAAAATCGTCTGGGATTTGGTCAACTACAGTGCAGCAGTAGAGCCGGCAGACGGGGCAGGGAGCCAGCGGGGGACAGAGCGACCGAACCCGACCCAGTGACCCGGTAGCCGCGGCCCTGTGGCAGTCAGGGCAAGAATACCTTCACCGGGTCGGGTTCAATCGCTCCGTACCCGGCTGGAATAGGTGTCTGTTTATACAATGTGATTCTGCTAAGGTTCTTCCAACACCTACTTGTACAGATCTCAGCTTAACAGTGGGGACTACTTGCTACTCCTGAACAGGATTGTTTCACAGAGGACTTTGCTTGCATAATTTTACTCAGGCAAATGGCTTTCTAGCTTTTTAAAATGGTAAAACCAGGGTATGCATGAACTTGTCCCAGAACTTACTCTGGATTCCTACTTACTCTGCTTTATAAAATGGAGCTCTGTTTGTTCTCAATTTTATTCAGCTTAAACATCATATATGGGACACACTGTTTAATTTTTTATCGATAAATATGTTCGATCTGGTACTGTCTGGTGTGCAGTTTGGTCATGATGCGGAGCGCTGGCGTAGCTTTGTGACAAAAACTGCAGCTCTGCTTTCTTCATATTAAGAATAAGCATCTGTGAATATATTTTTTTATTTACTTTTGCCCTTGGCAGGGCATTGCTTAGATTTGTTGAGACAGGGAGACAAAAGTGAAAAATGTGGTCTGTCCTGCACAATATTGGACATCTGCTCACCCTATTTGTTGTTGCAACACAATGAGATATGTAAAGCCCAAAGTGGTACTTTTACCTCTTTCAAGCTCAGGATGTTATTTATAGTAACGTATATTGACAGTAGTATTCTAACTATTTCCTTCATGAAAGTATTGAAATAATGATCCATTCATAGTTGTTATATAACTTGTATGTGACAGATGCCTGCATGTATTCAGTGAACCTTGATTGATGTTACTTCTGCGTGTTTTCCTCTGCACGCTTGACATTCAGCCCAGCCTGGTTTAGCTGCATATGCTCCTGTTATTGGCATGAATTAACTCATTCAGCTGCTATTGACTCTTGTACAGATGACTATATTCCTCTTGCCCAGATGTGCACGTTCTTTGTCATCACATCTTTTGTGTGCAACACTATAGAAAGCCTGCGGCGTGTTTTTTCAGCTTGGCTATTGCATCAATAAGGACTTCTCTTCCTAAGTGCCTGAGGGCCTTTGGATGGTTTGGGGTTAGTAGTTGTGGAGGATTGCCCCTGCCTGGACACTGCACACACTAACATCAGATGTCCCTCCCCTCTTGCCTTGTCATCCCAGGGCAGTCCAGACGTTCAAAAACTGACGCATGAGGAACAGGACGCTTTCCTCCTGAATTTTCCATTGCCTCCTCCTGTGAAATTCACCTGGAACTCATCAGAACTGAGGACTTCTTGGAAATTAGAACTGGAAATGCTGTCTCAAACTCCTGTTCTCACACTCTTAATGGAAATCTAAACAAAGAACACCCTCACAGCTGCATTCTCTCTTACTAAAACTATATCATCTGATAACTTGGTTTGGAAGTCATAAATTGAATTTTATGTGGAAACTGCATTTTTTGGGGTCCCTTGAGTATGGGAAATTAAGCTGAAAATGAGTTTTATTCTAGGCACAGAAACTCAAAACCCCTCTTAGTTTTAAAACTACAATTATTTACATTCAAACAGGATTTTTTTTTTTTTTTATGAAATAAGAGAGGTGATCTCAAAAGATAACCATGAGAAATTACATTTTCCCTTTGCTGGCTTTTCTTCACTGCCTGCCGGTTAATCTCAGAATAGAGTTTCAAATCCTACTCATTACTTGCAAATGTTACCCGGCTCCATCTAACATAAAATAGCTCATTATTCAATATCATTAACATGAACCTCACTTTACAAAGGTCCTATACTTTGAAATCATTCTCCCATCCTGTTTTTAATTTGACCGGATTTAAACAGTCGTGCTTCACAAGCAGTTATTTTGGCGATTGTTTAATGTTATGTATGTTTAATGTTAATGTACAAATAAATATTTTACTTAAAAAAAAAAAAAAGTTCCCATTCTAAATGATAAATAGTATTTTTTTCCAATGGCATTAATCTAGATTAACTGTTCCAAAATGTTTATGATGCTTCCGGCTAGACAAAAAATGGTTGTAAAATAAAAATATTGCTGTAAACATGAATCTGGCAAAGGTAGGAAAACTTTCTTGGCTTAAATATTAAGTTTCCCTTTTTTTTTTTTTTTTTTTTTTTATATGGAACATATAGCATGAAAAAATATCTGTACCCCATGAACCTTTTGACATTTTATGTCACAACCATGAACTAAGATGTATATTTTTCCACTTTAACATATGATATTAGACCAACACAACTACTAATAGTATTTCATAATAGTAAAATTGAAGGAAAATAATTGAGGGTTTTCAAATTTTTTAAAGAAGTAATACAAAGATTGTCACAGGGCTGTAAAGAAAAGTATTTTCTCTGTTACAGATCTCTTCAGCTTTTATTTTTTTGTAAATTATTTGTCACCTTCAAATGCTTTACATAAGTAAATAGATCTTTATATCCAACAAAGATATCCTGAATAAATACAAAACACTGTTATTAAACCAAAGCTAATTAAATCACAAAAGCATTGTTCAAACAAATGTACTGACATTTAACATTGTGAAGCTTCAAGACTCCAGGAAACCACAGGGAGAGCTATTATCCATAAAGGGAGAAGAAAGGATGCAGGATGAACCTTCCAAGGAGTGTCTGGTTTTCTAAAAACAAATCACCAACTCATGAGAGATTACAAAGGAACCCAGACCAAAAAAAACATCTAATGCAGTTAAGGTCTGACTCGTTTCAGTTAACTTCAAGGTTCTTGAGTAAACAGTTAAAAAGAGGCAGGGTAAAAATTTGTGAGAAAATATTCTGTGGACAAAGATGTCAAAAGTGAAACTTTCTGGGAAGCTTTCTATCCTGTTATATCTGAGATAAAACTATTAATGCATTTCAGTAAAGAGACCATACACAAATGATCAAATATGGTAGAGGTAGTGTCATGGTCTGGGTATGTTTTCCTCCTTCAGGACCTGGATGACTTTCTTCAAGTGTTGGAACCTTGAAAATTTTTACCTTCCAGAAAAAATTAATTAGGGACATGATTAAAGCATTCTGGGATATATCTGAATCTTCTGAGGTCTTTCTTTTCTTCTTATACACTTCGTAGACACTTTTTCTCTTATGGCTTTCAGCCATTTTCAAAGAATCACAATGAGACAGGTGAGCTTCAATAACTGTCTGAAACTGTTGCTCACCACAAATATATGCCTGAAAGTGTGCATGCGCACAAAAAAATAGCTAACAGGACGAGCATATATGACGGCCTTACGTAAACATATCACCAGAATAACTGACATTTAGGAGGGCCACTTATTTTGATGATTCACCCGGAAATAAACGTCCTCTATACCTTTAATCAATGAAGTTATTATTTGAAAACAAGTTTTTGAATTTATTTTGGGTGTCTTTCACTTTTATACTATTTAATGTGAGTTTCAACGTTTTTTTTTCCTTTTTTAAAAGGTGATTTATTGAAGCATCTGTTTTTTTATTCATTTATTCTTTTTTTTTTTTTAAAGGGGTCCACATTCACCTCACAGGCTCCAGAGTCATACAACGTATTCCTCACCAGTGCAATTACAGATGGTGTGAAGATGTGGGACCTCCGTACAATGAGGTTTGTATCGATATGATATCCAAACAAAAAAACTCTTTATGAAAAGCAAAATGAACCAAAACCTTTTACAGTTTCTTATGTTTAGGCCTGTTGTTGCTTCAAGCTTTTCAAGAAAGAAACTCTGTTTAAAACATTAAATTAGTTGGACTGCAGCATCTAGAAGCATAAATCTTTCCATGAAATTTTAAACAAAGCTGATGGGGCTATTTAGAAGAGCTGTCAAACCTTTGTTAAATGTGTTGCTCATATGTTCAGTCAAGATGTTTGTTGGTGTTTTTTTTTTTTGTTTTTTTTTTCCAATTTGCTGTTCCTAAGTATAAAAATGACACATTGAAATTGCATAATCGTTTTTCTTACACAAATATTATTAACTTGATGCTTAAACTGGAAAGTGTTTAATTTCCAAAGTTCTCTGGCTGTGATTTACAGCTGTCCTTGTTAGACAGATCATTTTTTAGACCTTTTTGGATCTTTCAATGTTCTTTTTGGCCTAATAGAAGACATTAATAAGTTTTGCATTCTTTCATGTCTTAGGCTGATTTCGTATCAAATTCCTTGTGTAAAAATCTACTGTCTGATAAAAATTTGCACCTCCTGTATAAGTAAACTCCCTAGTTTTGACAGCCGTGTTGTTAAGCATCTTACTGCAGACCAAAATTATGATCATTATATAATATACCGAGTTTCATATGCTGACCTCTCAAACTGATAGCAAGCTATTTTTTTTATTATCATAACTAATAATAATTTGACCACATGGAGGCGGGTGTACAGTTTATAATTCCCACATGTCAAGTTGTTGCTTAAAATATAAAAAATAACAAAAAAAAACAATCTGCAGTTCTAAACTTTGAAATTTATACCCACTTTCCCAATATTAATACTAAAAATAGGGATATAAATAATGTAAAGCAACACCTTTCAGCAAATGAATTACTTTTTATCATAAGATTTAAGGACTTACGAAGGAACAAACTAAATGCTTACATTAAAACGTATGGTCTTCTAAGTAGGAAAACATCCTATTGAATAAAGTAAGGTTCTCATTATAAATAGGAAAATAACTGCTGAATCAATATTCTAACTAAGCCCAAGTCTTTATCTCACCAAAAGTCTATATCCATGTCTGGCTGCTACTGCATGTATCTGATTTCTTAATGGCCATCGGGGAAAATGACCCACTCTTAGTCCAGCTTAATGACACAAACATATAAATGTCAAAACCATGACTTCACAAAATGCCTTCAAAGACCTGCATGCCATCCTTTATAGGATTCCCAGGTTCACCAGCTGTTGATGGTATTATGGTATTGTAAAGGCATTACATGCTGCTGCAGACCAAATTAAAAAGTCCACAAGTTCCACAAGGGACCATTCATAGCTGGACTTCTCCATGTTTCCTCCATTTAGACCTGAGTCATGCTAAACTCTTTGTGTTCAGTAACTTAAGATGTCTGCAGAATGTGAAGTTGCCAAGTTCTGTTCATCTTTTGTGCTCTACTATATATACTGTCCCTGGTTTTTAGATTAAGTTAGTGAAATCTTTTTTCTTATGTCAGCAGTCTTTGCACAGAGATAAGAAATTTCTTTATGTTAAATGTTAATATGATCTTTTTAAAGAGGATGTGTGAGAAAACATATAAATCCTCCTCTTTAACCTGAATGGGTTTGTCAGACATCCATCCATTTTCTGTACTATACCTGCTTATCTTTGCAGGGTTGCAGAGGAGCTGGTACCTATCTCTAGTGTTCATTGTGCAAGAAGCAAGTACACCCTAGATAGCAACCAGTCTATCACAGTGAAACCTGAAGACACACAGAGCAGACAATATGCACACACACTCATACATGTGGACGATTTAGAAATAACATTTAACCAGTTATGCTTTTGGACTTTGGGGGATAAGACAGTGTACCTGTATATGGAGGGAACCTCCACTGCGGAGTGGAAAACATGCAAGCTTCATGGGAAAAAAAGGCTGCATTCCATGATTTCAGCCCAGGATCTTACAGCAAGGCAACACTACCAAATGTGCCAAAATATGAGCATATATAGAATGCAAATCAGAAAATGCTCATGGCAAAGAAATATTCTATATGTAAAGGGAATTTGTTTTGTGCAATCAGGTGTTACACATAGACAAGTTGACCGGTTAATAAATATACAACATCACACAAAATTACATTTGGAATAAAGCAATAAAAAAAACAGTATTTGATTAGGTTAAATGGTATACATTTAATGGGGATGGAGTTTTTGTGTTGTTTTGCCTCTTTTTTTTATATACTAGTAGGAAACGTGTCTGTGGTGGACCCAGGCCTTGCTATTATGAGGCTAGCACCAGATGTGGTGAGATGTGCTGGTCCTAATGGACCACATTCTCCAGCCAGAGGGGAGGGTTTGAAAAAGTTTGTTCCTGCTCCCCTCTGTCATCTGGAAGTGTACATCTCCTGAAGAGACAGAAGATCTGCAGCCAGTCTCACCAGAGGATGAACCGAAGGATGGGGGAGTAGAAGTGCAATGTCATTGTCTTTGGAAGGCTGAAATTCTTCAGCTGTCATAAGAAGTACATTTTCTGCTGTGCCTTCTTGGTGAGGGAGGTGATGTTCAGCTCCAGCTTGTGGTAATGAGTTATGATGGTAACCGGTAATGAGGGTTAACAGGAAGCAAAAAGAGTCCATGGTGGTACCTGGACAGCCACACAGAACGATGGTTAAGGATGGGGTTGTGCACATTCTAAAGTCCATGATCTTGACTGTTTTCAGAGCATTGAGCTCCAGGTTGTTGTGGCTACGCCAGGTCACCCAATGACTAGATCAACATATGTTAATTATTTAGACACTGGTTCACTTTTGCTTTTATTTAAGCTATGTATTAAATTGAACATCTTTACCTCAGGTGTGTGCGGCGCTATGAGAACCATGTAAATCGCTGTCATCCATGCTCCAGTGCCATCTCACCCTGCGGCCGGTTCATCGCCTCTGGCTCTGAGGATAACTGCGTAAGTATATTGATAGATTTAACAAGTTAGCTGTAAAAACCTTTAGAGATTATCTTTTTAAACATTTGCATAACTTTAACTTTTTAAAAAATGAAAGACTTTGGCTTTTTACCTGTTCACTAGGTAATAAATCATTAAAGTTACATTCAGTTAGTTGGAATTTGTCGTTTGATGTTGCTTGTTTGTCGGATTAAAAATACCTGTTGGGTGTAACCTTTGAGTGATGATCAAATAGAAAAGAAGTAAGAATTTAAATAAATGTTGTTATTTGATTTGTATTCATGGTAAAATGCAAATGGCAGAATGTAGATACACACAAAGGTAAAAAAAATATAAAACACACAAAAAACAATAATATAACACTGTACAGTAAGGACAAAGATAGATAAGGAGAAAAAACTATACAGTTATTAGTCATTAAAAATAGCAAAACTTTTCAGTACCTCTGTATTTTGGCTTCCAAAGATTATCCAAAGCAGCATTGGCTTTGTTTGCTTTTATCTGATTGTTCTTAGAGTTTTCTATATGCATAACAATAATGATTTAAACTGTGTAAGAAGATTCCAAAATCTGAAGAGAATAAGTGAGATAAACAACAATGTAAGAATAGCACAGTAGCACTGTTCCCTCACAGTAACAAGGTCCTTGGGTTAAACCAGCCTGATGCCTTTCTGTGTGGAGTATGCATCTTTACATTCAACATGATTGTGAGATATGGATGGATGGATGGATGGATGGATGGATGGATGGATGGATGGATGGATGGATGGATGGATGGATGGATGGATGGATGGATGGATGGATGGATGGATGGATGGATGGATGGATGGATGGATGGATGTGTTGTAATCTGAAGTGCTGTTTTCTTAAATTAATTAGCTGGGGCTTTAATCTACCCAGTTCCTAAAGCATGCTCAACAAAGGGGAAAGTGATGCCATCATTGATCCATTCTTGCAGTTATTTGTTTTCTTTTACCAGACCATAATCAACCTGATCATCTTTTTCCTTTGGAATGTCAAACCATGTCTTGTATGTTCGAACTGTTTGTTTCCATTCCTAAGGGTACTGCTCCTCATTTCTGGAAACTGTTAAATCATTTGCTACTGATGCAAACAGAGTTTACACAAAAGGAAAGCTGGAATCACAGTATTTTAACCTGGGAAAAACATGAATTTAATGAGAGCTGACTTGTAAGCTAAAAAGGAGCTCAAAGTATAAACTTCAGAACAGCTCAGCTTAACAGAATGAAGTGAAAATATATGATCTTATAAATAATATTCCACAGAAATAATGATCTTTTTGATTCACTTTAAGATCAACTGGTTATATATATTCCCACTGGTTGAGGGGTCTGAAGGATAATGCAATATGTGAGCAATTTTGAAAGCCAACTGACGTACTACCAGCGGAGGAAAAACTAACCTGTCATGATACAGTCATGCAAAACTTTTTAGGCACAGTCAAGTGCTACATTTTTTAATTAATTTCATTCCCTTTCAATACACAATGTACAATAAAGTTATGTTCTCAATTCCAGTGTTGTACACAACATGAATAACAAGAAAAAAAAATCCATCTACATAATATATAGGAAATACAATTAAATGGATGGTAGTTTAAAGATAAAAAATATGGATATTCCAAATCATCATCCATCATTTAAGGATGTTGCACATTCATAAGTTGTTGTCAAAACACTTTGAATGTTGTTCTGTTTTCTAACGACACTTGGATACTCCTTTTAATGGTGAAAAGCTTTATAAGTTTCACATTAATCACACTAGTCTTGTAAATGTACGATAATGTATTTTTCTGAGTCTCAATCCTTTTCTGTTCTCTTTTGATGAATCTCTGGAGGCTTTCTTCTCAGCTGCTGCCAAACCAGCACCTGAATGCTACCAGTAAGAATACTTTAAAAAGAAAACCTGCTATTATACACCAATAATGATAAGCTTAGCAAGCTATGTTTTATTTTTTTGTACAAATGTTAGGTTTTCTATATTGGAAAAAGTTAAAAAGAGGCCATTCTCTCAACTGAATTACCTCTGAAGTATAGTGAAAAGGATGCCCCCTTTTCTCTAGAACATCAGTTATTAATTTTCTTAGTTTTGGATAGACCATCACATTGATGAGGCTCTATCCATTTTTTTTTGTATCATTATTTTTTTTCCTACTTGCTTTGATTCTGTTTTATTTTCCTATATTTTAATCATGTAAAGCACTTTACATTGTCTTAATACTGAAATGTGCTATACAAAAAAATTTGCCTTGCCTTGCCTTTGGCGCCTTTATACAGATTCATCAAGATGTTTGTTTGGTCGAGCCTTGCAGAACTCTAGTATTAGTTAGTAGAAAAGTCTCCCACCTGGCAGCAGTTAACATTGAATGGTGAACTTATATTTAGTAACAGCTTTCACAAACATGTTTCACAGTGTGCTGGTTGTATGAAAACAATGTGTGAGGCTATAGTCAACTCAGCCTCTTTTGATTGCTCCGCTTTGTATGCAAATTGGTGCTTTTCCAGAGTGGGTGCTTCTTAAAGCATCTCATAAGACTGCAAGAATGATGAACTTCCTATCTGAACCAAATATTTTAACAGTATTATCACTCTTATTCATTTTTAAGAAGCTTTTAAATATCTGTACTTACTTACTACTGTAGATAATACTACAGTGACTATGAAGCAATGAGCAAAACTCAAATTATAGTTTACATCACAGAGAGTTGTTAGCCCATGTTGAAACCTTAAAGACCCAACAAGAGGAAATCTAAATCTATTTACTACAACCAGCTGTAGCTATATCTGCTTGTTTACTCTGAAATGTTCTCCCATGATTTAGTCTCTTTGAGGTCTCCCTTTTGCCTTCACCTCTACCCATCCTGCCTGTGATTGTTCTCACTGTCAAAACAGTTTTTTTTTTTTTTCTGTTCCGGACTTTAAGTTTCCTTTCTGGATGCCAACTTTTTTTCTTTTCCTGCACCTTTTTTTTTCTTATATTCAAACAGTTGCAAACGTTTAAACTTTTACCAAAAAGCGTAACCTTATCAAGGCTGGGGTATAGTTATCACTGTTCTGTCCATTTAAAGGGATGATCCCTTTTGCTAGACATTTTTCATCTGTGTTCAAAATATTAACCCAAGGAAAATCAATTGGAGCATTTATATCTAAGCAGAGCTGTTTAATTGCTTTTCCAGACAGTGTCTTAACCCTACGATCAAGACTTTTTGCAGAGGATAGACTTCCCTTTCTTTACCCATCTCTCCTCTGGTGTATATGTTTGTGGAAAACTGTGAAATAATGTATCCATCCTGCTTGATGTTAATAATTATGGGGATTCGGCACAGCATGAACATTTAAAGCATCTCTGTTAAGAAAAGACATTTCCAAATTTTCCTGGAAACTTGAAGAGATTTTGCTGCAGTGTATTTATTTGTGGCTGCCCTGAGACATCTATAAGCCACAGACGTTTATACTTGTCATAATATATCAAAAAGCACTCATGGACGAACAGGACAAGAACACTTTAAAGGATTCCCTTAGAATGTTAAACACTTTAACAAGGTTTTGAGTCAAAAACCTCCTGGAACATATTTGCGATATAATCTTAATTAATTAAATTCATACAAACAGTTAAATTTTACTATTACATCCACTTACTTTTTTATGTATAATTTGATACTAAACTAACCATCATAAATGTTTGGTAGAAGTACTTTTCTTTTGAAAGCATGTTTGTTTTTTAATTATTAAATACATATGTTGGTTTTGGTGATTTTAAAGCATATGGAGGCAGCCCTCCATATGCTTTATTATTACCCTGCCCATTTTATTTAAAACTCCAATAACCAGTGGTGGTTAAAATACAATTATACATTATCATTATTGGTGGTTTATGGGTTATTTCTAAGCATCTGAGCCTGTATTTTTGGCTGAGATGGTTAAAATTGGAATCAGTTGGATTTTTTAATGGAACAGTAACCCTAAACCAGAGATGGGAAGTAACGAAGTACAAATACTTTATTACTGTACTCAAGTAGATTTTTCTGATATTTTTACTTTACTACTTATTTTTATGGCGACTTTTTACTTCTACTCCTTACATTTTTACACAAATATCTGTACTTTCTACTCCTTACATTTTTAAAAATTGGCTTGTTACTTTTGTTTTGAATCATTTCAATGGAGTTACTGTTATTATTTTTCACGTCATCAATACCAAATTCAATCTAATTGGATGGGAATCTATGTTGCATTTGACGCACCACTACAAGATGAATCGACAGATTCGGCGATATTCATTCGCAGCAAATCATTGCAGCTTGGTGGCGGTGGAGTTAGCATAGTAGTATGGACGACGAGATGATTGAAAATGAACACAACGGAGATCTAGTCCTATTGGCAGACATCCATTTAAAATGTAGGCAACGGCGTGAAAAAAAGTGGTTTCTACTTTTACTTTTATACTTTAAGTAAATTTACAAGCCTGTACTTTGTTACTTTTACTTGAGTAAAGAAGTTTAATCAGTACTTCCACTTTTACCAGAGTATTTTTTAACACAAGTATCTGTACTTTTACTCAAGTACGGAAAGTGAGTACTTTTGCCATCTCTGCCCTAAACACTGATTTCTTTTATTTTTTTATCCCTGCATTAAACTTTTTTGAACAGCCTTTTGAGGGCTTCAACCTGAAACCTATTAAAGTTAGTAGGCCATGTGGCAACTAAGAGTCAACTATTCTAAAAAATAAAAAACAAAAAACAAGGCTATTAATTCTGCCAACAGCTGTGATCTAACAATGGGTCGTCATTTTTTAGAACCTTTTGATTGCTACACAACTTGGCTGGTGAAATGTGGTAGGGGACACAAACAAATATTATAGAGCATATTGATATTTATGAATTTTAGAGACAATCTGAAATAAATCCCAAAGGTGGACCCAACTCTTTTATTCAAATAATACTGAAGTTGAATGCTTATATTATATAAAGTCCCAGAAAAGAGTTTCAAACCAATGATTGAAAAGGGAAAAATAATGACTTCCATGTCCACCTCTGACTGGTGCTGTGCCTTTTTCCCAGATGTTCGGGGGGGGGGGGGGGGGTTTGTTTTGTTTATTTCTCTCTCTCTCTCTCTCTCTCTCTCTCTCTCTCTCTCTCTCTCTCTCTCTCTATTGCATCTGTTTTTTGAATTCACAGCAATAACAGATTTTTTTGTTGTTACTGTGTTATTTATTTCAGGCCTATGTGTATGATATCCGTAGCAGCACCTACCTCCACAAACTCCAGAGACACTCAGACACTGTACTAAGTGTGGCTTTCAACCCTGCAACACCAGAGGTAACAGGAAAATATATGTGTTTATTATATATTGTTTATTTATTTTTCATTGTGTGGCAAAAGTATTTGCAAAAAACACCAATTCCTTTGTAAAATGATTTATTGGTTTGTTTGGAACGCCTTAGAGAAATGGAATTTGCACCTGAAGCATTTTTAGATATGCAACACAATCACAGCCTCTGCATGATGACTCCTGAGACTAGTTGATCGCCTGTTTGACCCAAAGCACATGTTTTAAATCTTCACATCCATCTGTGTAACTCCGTTTAGAGAAAACTTTTTCATCACAACAGCGATATATTCAGATTTTCAAGTCTGAAAATGGAAAACTTTGGTTCAGAGCCATTTATTGGCTATGGTGATCTGTGCAGTTTAAAAGCACACTTAATCAGTCAGAGCAAACTTGCTCCACATCAGCTCTTCTGGACATTTTGTTTTATTTGATAAGATGTGGATTAAAGGCAGACACTGAGAAAAGAAAAAATATATATGTTGCCAAATTAAATTACAGGTAGACATTGATTGTAGGGGTGGGCCTTTATTGTATCGTTTATCGTAATCGTTATAAATTTTTATTCATGCCCACAATTTAGTTTTATTGTCTAAACTATCAATTAAAATTGGTGATAATAGAAAAATCATGAAATGGGTGATTTAAAAAATGTATTTTTCTTTTCGATTGGGGAATTGGCCAATTTGAAGAATATGATTAAATCTGGTTATTATGGGATGTATAGTGACATAAATTACATTTATGTTTGTAACTGGTGTCCTGAAGAAGCCTGTTAAGATTTGTATATATGTTTGAGAGATGTGTTTGTGGGGCTAAGATTGCTGTGGGTTGCAGTCACAGTTATACAGTTACCTAAGAACGTCTTTAAAATAATTAATGCAGTGTTTTTATCATCAGTTTTATTGTTATCACAATAGTACTGCAAATATCGTGATAAGATTTTAAGTCCATATTGTATAACCCAGCTAGGTTTTTACTTAGGTGCCTGACATGTTTTCTTATTTTTAGAGATCATAAATAAGGTTTTAGTTACATATAATGTGATACTATAACTTTTTTTTTTTTTTATCTTAGACTATTAGGTGTGTTTTTAGACCTATACACTTCTAAGCAAAACTTACATGTTCGTGAAAGTTTGTAAAACATTCAGACCTGAACATTCAAAGAAACACAAAGACAGTTACAAAGTTGGCCTACTATCACCTAATGAACATTTCGAGGATTAGAGCACTAATTAGATTCTAGGACTAATTCCTCAGCAGGATCTCGAAAAAAATAATTGTGTGCATTTTTAGAAGAATTGATCATTGCAATGTTGTCTTCACAGGACTGCTTATAAAGCCCATCAAACAGTTGTAGTTCATCCAGAATGCTGCTGCCCGCATCCTCACTAAAACCAAGAAAGTAGAGGGCATCAACCCAATCCTAAAGTCTTTATACTGGCTCCATGTATCAAAGAGAATGCACCTTAAAATCCCTGAATGGTTTAGCTCCAAAATACATCACAGATTTGGTTTATCAACCGCCAGACCGTTCCAGGCTTCTGTCTCTAATCTACTATTAATAACCAAAATCAGAGCCAAACATGAAGAAGTAGCGTTTAGTTATATGCTACATGAATCTGGAACAAACTCCCTACATTTTTTAAAATCCACATTAAAACCTTTTGCATAGAGTGGCCTTTGAGTATACTATCTGAACATTATTATTTTTCTATTCAAATTTCTTTTTCTTAACAAACATTTAAACTGCTATGTTCTTCTTTTATAATAAACTTCTCATTTTGATAATCCCTTTATATTATCTTTAATTATTTGTGTTCATCTTTTATTTAGCTACCTTTATGGCACTGCAATGTGTTATGTTTCTTTTTCTTTTCTCTTGTACATCAATTTAGATTATCTTACCACAGAAATTACTTTAGACTTAGACTTGGACTGTGTTATTTGTCATTTTGTTTACACAAGTGTAGCCTTTACACAAGTGCAGTCTTGAAAAATAGTAAAAAAAAAATATATAAAAACAGTAATATAAAAATATGACTGTAAATTTACAGTTCTAACATTTTCAGTTTTTTTATATCTTTATAATGATAAAATATAAAAAATATAATAAAATTAAATTTATAATCATTTTATTATAAACTGGGCAATATAAATAAACTTGCGTCACTTTGCCTCGTGTAAATGTATTTATATTTTGAAAAATATATAATATATATAAAAGTCTGGTACGTGGTAACCTTATCTTTCAACGATTGTCCTTTTACAATGCAGTGAAAAAAAATCTTTAAGTATTACAACGACCTGCAAAACTGCTTGTATACTAGATTACAATTACATTAAGATCTACTCATACTTCCCCTTTTAGACAGTTGATAAAAATATGTCCCCAACCTGTGCTCACCTTCCTGTTTAGTGACATTTGAGGACCAGCTGTTCTCCATATTTGCTGCTATGAGAAGCTTCTGATGTTTGACATGGGTAGATAATTTAGTGCATATTTCCCCTTTCATTTTTCACTCATTTTTTCCTTAAAAAGACCACGAAACAGGCTCTTTGATCACTGGGTTTCATTTCCTCGAGTTTATCTTCAGTCAGCGTGAAAGGGCACAGATCTTTAATCACAACACTTTGTTGCTCTGCAAAATCGGTTTGGCTTTGGTTCAAATGTAATGGTTGTCTTTTGACATAAAAAAAAATAATTACTTCACAGCTGTTAATCTAAACCATCATGTAAAAGAAAAGACCGAGGCAAAAAAAGAAATATCATTATCCTAGTATGGCTGATTTCTGTTCTGTGTTTTTGGCCCTGAGTAATGTGTGAGGGATGTGTTCTCTACTACTTTGAATCTCAGTTGCAGAGAGTCAGTGCAGAGCTTTGATCACTTACCAACACAACCAGCTGTATGCAGAAAGTTCACACGCAGTGTCATCCAAACTTAGATGAGCAACGAGTGCTTCCTCTCAGTGACTTCTATGCTCTCTCTGCTCTCCGTATGTCATTTTGTATCATCTTTGTTCTCTGCAGCAAAATATAGCATGCAACTGGTGTCCCACCAGACTTTAACTGTATCATTTCATTTCTGACCTCTTGGTGTTTTGATAGGTAATTTGTATCGCATAGCTGGGAAAGATTTACAGATGAGAATCTCCAAAGTTTGCTCCAGAGCTGTAGCTTAATGGAATACATTTGAATGTCTTATGTTCTCAAAGACCTCTCTACCCCTCCCTTTGTAAATATTGGTCCAGGTCGTCCCCTTTCCACTCCGGCATGACTGTTATTTTGTCTTTATCAATCAGCACAGCTTTTAATGACTTTATTTCATACATTATTAAACAGTTGTTCTTGGTGCAATGTTGCCAGTTCAGCTGACATAGAATTAGGAGATTTCTTTGTGCTTTAGTATACATGGGAAACAATGTTTGGACAACAGCTGGGCCAAAAGTCCTCACAGAGCTTTGCTGCTTCTGTGCTGTTTAACAATTGAAGGTATAAGGCGAATATTATTAATTATAGTCATATATTTATTAAATCTGATAATTTCTCCCCTCTAGCATGCAAATATTTGAAAGAAGTACCCATTGAAAATCTAATCCATGCTGTGTTTTTAAGTGACATATTTATTCCTGCTTTGAACTATTGATTTGTGCTCTGTGGTATTGAGCCATCAAGGTGGACAGTAAGTTATATTATGTAACAATCAGTGTGTCTCACGCAAGTCCTGAATCTGATTTCACTTAAAATTCCTGAAATGTTTGAGTGTGACTTTGATCTAAAAGAAAAAAACAAACAAATAAAACATCAGTAAATCAACAAGAATTCTCAAATTTTTGGATATTAGATTTTTATGTGTGTGGAAAAAAGATTATTAAAATGGCAAATTATTTTAAACCGCAGTTGAACATCTGCTTGTGTAAGAGTTGAGTTGACTTTTGTAAGAACATCTGACGATGCAAATCAGGTCTTTTGACAGAGACCTGACCCATGAGGGATGTTGTTCTTCGAAGTGCAGCACTACGGAAAACACGATAACTCATTTGAACTGGTGATCCCTGACCCCACCGTGTATGTCTCTGGTAAATCATCTTGCAATAAGCTCTGACTCTTGGCTCTGAGGGTCACTCAGATTCCCAGTTTACGATTTATGTTCAGGATTGCTGACACCCACTGGAAGTAAAAAACAAAGTGTAAAACAAACAAAAAAAGCCTTTTTTTTCTTTTTATCAGAAAGTATTTTCTCAAAAGAAAAATTGCAATTTTGCCATCTGATGTTGAAGATCCCTGATTTTTTTTTAGAGCACATCTCTAATCCTATAGAGTTTTAAACAGCTGTTATTGTACTGTGGGAGGGAGAACCTAAACTGTTAATTAAGGTCCCTCGTTGAGAGGATGAAAGGGCAACTCCTCAAAGGTTAAGGTAACGGTAAAGTGAGCTGCGACACTATTTAACAGATATCTACAGTACATAAAGATGTAATGTTCACATCTTGCCTGGCTCCATTTGAAAAGAAATTGGCTTGTCTTTGACCTTCAAGCTCCCTTTAGTATCTTTTGAGGATTTAAAAGTGGCTGAAACTTTCTCCCCCATCGAAGCGTTAAAATCTCTCCAGTTTACGATGTTTGAGTCATCTTCAGACCACAGCATGTGTGACTCCCATTTCCAGTACAGTCATCTGCTTGCTGGTAAAGATTTGTTCAGCAGTGCTTTAGTGTACATGGGAAACAATGTTGAACAACAGCTGGGCCAAAGGTCTTTTTTTAAATAAATAGTTTTCTTCATTATTGCTGTTAGTTTTATCCAGAAGATGTCGTATTTTCTAACCACTCACCCCCCCCCCTTAAAGAAATGGGCATAAAGAAAATTAATGCAGGCACTGACATTTACTCAAGAATCCCCAGGGATACAAATTAAGGTTGTTTATGATATTTACGATCTTATAAAGGGAATTTAGTCCTGCAGTGTAATTGCATTTTACAACAAAACCTGATTAAAATGCTATAAAATAGAGTTAAAATTTGTTGTTTGAAAAAAAATTGAAAGTGTGCCCATTTCCCGACATCTTCCAGACTCTTTTAGTCACTGCAAACTGAAAATACTGTGATTTAAAGTTTGTATTCTTTACCCCCTGAACCTTTACTCTTTGTCACAAGACAAGCACTAGTGTGTTTACTTTGGGTTTAACTCATTAATGGATCAATAAGCTACAAAAAAACAAAATGGTTTTTCTTTAAATAAAGGTCTTGGTAGAATCTCTTTTGCAACTGGGACAAGAAAACTGGTTAAAACATTTTAAAACATGGAAGCGACTAAATACAGGTTTTATTTATTTATGAAAACCTTGCAAAGGAGTCCAGTAGTCTTAAGACTGGTTTACCTTCCACCACTATAATGTTCCCTAATATACGACCAGAGATGCAATAGAATAGTTTAATCCAGTGTCTAGATGTTTAACAATGGTAAATACTGTTAGATAAATGACTTGCAGCTGTTATTGAAGCAAAATTATTTTCTACAATATTCTTATTTGGGGGGAGGGACTAAATGCATTTGTGTAAGTCACAAAGCCAGTATATTGACTTTTCTCCTCCCTAGATATGCTCCAATTTGAGCTACTCTGTGACCTGACATGTGGAAAAGTCTGGGGTGTGTCAATATGGTTGTGAGTTACTTCACTGTATTGAAAATACATTTTCTATAGGGAAATACCCACTGATGTCACATAGCACTGCATTCTGGGATTGTGCACAGTACGTGTCAACTCTTAGCTGTTTACTAAGAGTTAGACACACATTTACACAATGTTGTGCTGAGAGGTGTGGTGTGGAAGGAAAAATTCAGCGAAGTTGGTTGGAGCAAAAACAAAAGGTGATTTATTAGGTCTCCTTCATCAGAGCATAGTTAAACTTAGATCAAAATGGCAGCGTTCCCATCAGACCCCTTACTACAGCCAGCAGTTGAGCCAGGCCGCCTCCTTAGCAAGGTTCCAAGATGGCTTTTAAAAATGAAACACCCAAAAAGGTAACAAAGAATTAGAAAACAAAAGGATCATATACACACACATTCTAGAACCCGAACATTACAGAAAATCTTATTGCTTCTTAACACACAAAGAAAGACAAACATGTTCAAATAATATAGAAAATCCGGTTGTATTCTAAAAAGATAAGTTAGAGTCTATAATTAAAGCACAATCAATTGCTCTATGTGAGATGCAGGCCAAAAATGGAACTAATGATTTTGCTCACTTCTGCATTTTTTATGGTTTGGTTGCCATTCTTGTGGTTTTAGTGTTTTTGGTTAAACTAATAGAACAAATAATGTTGTTTTATTGAGATTTTTCCTTCTGATTACCCAGCAAATGTTGACACACATAAACAGTTTTTAAAGGTAGCGTTCAAAAAGTCATGGCGCTTTATCTGAGTATTAGTTTGTCTTAATTTGAATTTTAACTTGTCTTAATTTGAAGGGAAATCTTTATCATCTTTAGACATAAGACTGAAGAAAAAAAGAACTGCAAGAGTCACAGCTTTTCCTAGAAATTAATTACCTCACCATTCAACCGAAGAACCAAATTGATGGTTGTTATCAACACAAATGAAGTGAGCTTTAATGCAAGCTCATAATAATTAGCTAACTCACTAACACCGCACAAAAAAACTAAATAACGAGGAGCAGACAGAGCAGGTAAGCAAAGCTCATCACTTTCCCCTCTTTATGTGTCATGATTGGTTTAAGCGATCTGACCCACATGCAGAGAACCACTCAGAGACCAAAGGAAATAGTTAAACAGGTTTATTACAGATGAATAACAGAAGTTGGATCTGGAACTCAGTGGACTGGAGAACCAGAACTGGAAAGTCTGAAGGGGAGATCACAGTGATCAGTTCAGGGACCGTAGGAAATTTGACTATTGATTAAATTGGAATATTGGTGAGTCCCTCTCCAATATTACTGGAGAGGGCCTCACGTTTGAGGGGGCTCCAGCTTGTGGGGGTTAATCCAGAGAAGGGGGAACTCGTTGGAGGGCGAACAGATAGACAAGCGTTGGACCCAGAGGAGTAAAGGAGCGGACTGTCACTTGGATTTCCGAAGAGGACTTGAACGGATGATGTGGAGTTTTTCCCCTGCTCAGTGTGTACTCAGTTAATCCTTCCAGGGGGAGAAGGTCCAGGTATCCAGTTACTCAGGAAGGCTTCTTGCCGAAGAGCAAACACAAAAACTAGATAAGAGATCCAACGAGCCGCAGGTGTGCAGGGAGGCCCACCGAGGACAGGGCACCACCTGGTGGTGGAGAGAGAAAAACACACAAACAACCCACACAAACTGGATTCCTAACATTATGGAAAAAAGAAAAACTATGAACTTCACAGACCTCACTGTGAATCACTTCTCACTGCATCAGTCAGCATATAAACCGTCCCACTTCATTTAAAACAGTGTTTTTCTTTTCTTTAGACATACTTTCTCATCATGTTTTTAATATAGACCTATAAAAATTCCCCATCTATTCTGGTTTGAGATGCTACAAAGACTCGTTAAGCAGGGCTTTGTTTTATAGCTGTGCGGGTGATTTTTATTATTATTTATTTTTATCAACTTTTTATATTCTGTCCAAGTCAAATGTGGAAAATTGTTTTAAATTTGTGTGGGACAGAGAAAGAAGTGAAAAAAATATCTGTGCAGATCTGCTCATCCTGCATAGTCTGAGCCTCTCTATAGGCAGTCAGTGTAACATGGAAAAATATTGGATTGGAGATTAAATAGTCATACGCAACCAGTGTGTGCTCAGACCTTAACTATAGTATATAACTCCTTTAATAGGAGGTCGTGATTGACATGTATGTTAAGAAAGTTCATCCATAAAATAAAAAGCGGACCCTGATTTTATTCTCTCTTTTTGTTTCTCTTCTTTAGTTGTTAACAGGAACCCTGGACGGGAAGCTACGGCTCTACCAGTCGTGCAAAGCGTTCCCTTTGTCCCATGACACCAGCACTGCTGTGCATTGCGTCTCTAACATGACTGCGTAGTTAGAGCTGGCTGCAGGAGAGACCATGCAGTATTCATTAAGACAGCTGAAACCCACAGGCAAGGATTTCATATGAAACAAAGAATTTATTTTGTTTTGTTTCTACTGCCTTTAGCTCAATAAAATCAAAACATATGAACATTAGTGCTCTTGTATGTTCTTTTTTTGTGGGTTATGAATTTTAAAACTAAGCAGCACATTACAGCCTGTTCATCTTAGCCAATCTTTCTGTGTTTACTTATTTCCCTCTGACTGAGATTCAAAGGAATGTCAGAGTTCACTAAAAAAGCCTTTGATTCAGTTAACCACATTAATCACATTTTTTTTGCATTCGACAATTTCAGCTAAATTTGCCAAAAAACAGCAACAACATTATAGGTACTTCCCATTATAAACATTTTGGAGAATTAAGCATCACAATATTTTAATGTTACTTAAAGTTTTTGGAACATATGTACACCATCACAGGCGGTGGCCACTATTTAGCAAATCAGCACGTAAAGCGATGACATCAACTGGGTGCAACCTATTTGGTTGCCAGAAACACAGATGCTCCTACTGTTCATATAACAAAACAGCCTTCAGCTTCTTTAGCTGAATATTAACTCTTTTTCTCCTGAAGCAAAAGTAGCAACACAAATGTGGAGGTTCAGAGTATAATCTAAAAGAACTTTAGTCTGACTGAAGTATAGGTGTTTGCAACATCCCGTTAGTTTAGCTTCCCCATCACATTGTTTGGATTTTATTTTATGCAAATAGGCTAGTTTGTCAAAGCACAGTTATCAGAAGGCAATCTGAAGAAAATAAGATATTCATTAAAATAAGACAAAACCTAGATCCAGATCTAGTTCTATGGTTTTAATTTGAAGCTAGAACACCACATTACATTGCATTGTTATTGATATGACGGAGTGTGCACATCCGATATTTTTAGTTATTGAATTGCAAATTATCTAATACAAGTCAGCAAATTTAACCATTAGTAGCACTCTTACATATTTTCTTGACATTGTGTATTTCTGAGTGTCTGAATAGTTAGAAAGCATTTTAGATCATTAAATTTCAGCTGATTAAAATGGGGCTTAAGAATTCATTTTAATGTGCAGTAGTTTACCATCCACTAAGTCAAAGTAGCATTGTTTTAAATAATTCAAATATTTTTTATCAGTTTTTCTCAGGCTGTCCTGGCTGGTCATATTGGGGAAAACACATAAGTGTCATGAAAATCCTGTGACTTTATTTAGCAGCTCAGAACTAACTCACTCTAAAAAACACACCTTGAACCTTGTTTTTACTTTGGGATTGAACATTGATTGGAGTTTTTCTGAGTACATTTTTATCTAACACTATCACTGTGTTATTTTTGATTGATCTGAAACTGTTTCACAGCCTACTGCTCGCCGTGCAAGTAGCCCTGATTATCAGCAGACTCCTTTCCTTTCCTGCAGGTTTTAATGTTTTCTTATCTCATTTTACTGATGAAGATTCTCTGACTGATGATTTTAATGAACAGTTCATATCTATTTCATATCTGTTTAAAACCGTATCCTATAAATAGATCAATACCTGTTTTAAATTCCTCACCATGAGTAGATGATACCGTCTTCTGTTTACGGTGTCCTTGTAGAACAATGTAACTTTAGTGGAAGAAACTGCATTAACCGGGGAAACATCTCCTATACTTAAAGGATCTTTTAGACTTTTTTAATAATGCTGTCAAAAAAGCCACAGCCTTTTAATCCATTTCACCTAGTTACTCTCTTCTCTTCAAATAAGGATTGACAACTTTTTACTTATTGTTTTATAGACAATAAGATGAGCAATCATATATCACCTTCTGCACCTGGGCTAACAATCCCCCCTCTTTTTTGGCCTTGTATTTTAGATCGCTTCCAGTCAGTGTCAGTTCCTGAGCTTGTTCAGCTTCTTAGCACCATGAAGACAACTTCCTGCTCTCTGAAGATATTACCAGCCTCCTTGTTACGTGTTTTTTTAGTTGCATAAAGTAAATGCCTCTTAGCTGCTAGTAAGATACCTTTTTGTCTAAAGAGTGCTATTACCCACACCTTTTGAAAGAAAGTTAAGGTTATAGACAGTTATAGACCTATTTTAATTTTTTTTTTTCTGGCCAAGAGTTTAATAAAGGTTGGGATCAAACAGTTCACCTCTGCTCTTGATAAACACGACTTTCTAGAACATTTTAAGTCATGTTTTCATAAACCCCATTCCACTGAAACAGCTCTTGTTAAAATCTCAAATGACATTTTGATACAAGCAAGGCAGGTAAGTGTTCTTTGTTGCTTTTGTTGGATCTGAATTGAGCTTTTAATACTATTGACATCCAACACTGTGGAAAAGGCTGAGGTGTTGGGCTCTTGTTTCAGGTTCTGCTTTAAAATGTCTTTGTTTTTTTTCCTACTTGTGAGTTAGATCAATTTTCCCAACTGTATGTAATTACAGATCCAGTCCTTTCCTGTTGATTTTTTAACCGTTCAGTTGATCCTGTTTATTTTTCTTCTTCGAAATGGTTCAAAATGGTTGGTTTTGGGTCTGTTATCATTTTTGTTTTATGTGATCCCTCCTGGTTCCTTATTGCTATCTTTTAAATATATTTTCTATCACTGTTTTTTTTCCTTCTCTTTTTCCCAGCTTTTATTGTCATCACAATGTCACAAGTACAGAACAACTAAGTGAAATCTGTTTTTAACCCATCCCCTTGGGGAGCAGTAGGCTGCCATTGTGGGGCGCCCAGGGAACAGTGTGGGGGTTAAGGGTCTTTGCTAAGGGACCCAGAGTGGCAACCTGTGCAAGTGGGGCTCAAACTCAGAACTCGAAACCTCAGCATTCCAAGCTCTATGCCTTAACCACTAGGCCACCCTTGCAGATAACATCCAATTGTATATTTTTTATGTTTCAAAATGGCTTTTCAAGCATCATCTTTTATTAAAATGCTTTAAGTCTAGATGACTGAAAGTTCTGTTCAGTTAAATGAAGACAAAACTGAATTCATCATCTTTGCACCTGAGAAAGGAACTGTAAACATAAAGCAGACTCTTGGGTTGCTGCTTCCACTGCTAAAGCATCTGTCAGAAACCTTTGAATAACTATGGAATCTGGCTTTACATTCAAATATCATGTCAGACTTCTGGTTTTGATCACGCTTCTACCATTTGCAAAACCGTGCCAACCAGGCCCTATTGTCTCTCGTCCTGACTTGGAAATCTTAATTCATGCTTTTGTTTTATATCCTCCAGATTAGGCCTGCTTGAAGTCAGCCCTTGAGGGCTGCGGTCCTGCATGTCTTAGAGGTTTCCCTGCTTCAGCACAGCTTATTTCCATTGAGAGCCAATTAACAGCTTTTGCTGAACTCCAATCATCCGAATAAGCTCTGCTAAAGCAGGGAAACCTCCAAAACCTGCAGGACAGCGAACCTCGAAGACCAACTTTTGGCCAGCCTCATCTAGATTATTGCAATGCCCTTTACACATTTTAACATACCGGTATCTTCTCTAGAATCATTGCAGTTAGTTAAAATGCTGTTGCTAGACCCCTGACATCAGAATATTTTTCACATTCAATTCAGTTTATAACACATGTCATCTCAAGGCACATTACACACACAGTTCAATCACATCATACAGTCAGATTGGTAAAAAGGTTTTGTATCTAAGGATAACCGGCTGATTGCATTTTATCATTGACTCTACAGCAATCCCTTACAACAAGCATGCATGCGGCAAAAGGAGAGATGGAAAACTCTCTTTTAGCGGGAAAAACTTCTAGCAGAATCAGGCTCAGTGTAAGCTGAGACTGGGAGTTCACAGAGAGAATAGCAGACATACAAGAGGAACATAGAAGCACTGATCTATAAATACTTTCTATGTTAGAAAAGGTAACGAAAACTAGCTTCACTGGGGGCTCTGTCTGGGAAAGAAACAGTTAAGCAGACGAGCTCTGAGCAAGTTTTTATGTCCAAGGGATGAAAGAGGAAAAACAGAGTTAGTCACAGTAAAAGTTGGGACCGTAGTTATGTCTAGAAGAGAAACAGGACTAAGCACTGAAAAACAGGTCCAACTCTATCATCTACAATCAAAGGTGGCACAGGAATATGTCTCTACTGCTCATGCAGAGTCATTGGCTACATATTTATATTGAGTGCATTTCAAGGTATTACTGTTGACTTGAGGAGCTCTGGATGGACCCTACACTGCAGATCTGAATTATTAAATTCTTATACCAATAGTAGGGTGCTTAAGTACCTGCGATCAAAACATGCTTACTATCCCTTGTACAAAATGAATCCCATTCAGGCTTCTTTTAAGAAGTTTTTATTTTCAAGAGCAGGTACGGTAATCAATTCTGGTGTGACCATGCATAGCCAGTCATTGTCTTGCCAAAAATCTTTTGTAACCATGAATAAGATTTAAAGCTCAGCAGGCCCGGTAGGAGCTGTTGCCAGAGCAGAAAAAAAAGAGTTCTGCAAACAAACTCATACCTTTTCTCAGCTTGAATACATCTTGTTGGTGTTACTTAATAAATCATATCACACCTTGGTCTTTAGTTTTCTCCGGAACAAAAAGTTCTACAACTCATATGTTGCAGCTCTTAATTAGATCTTTAGAGACTAAAGCAAGACCTCACCTTTCTGGAAAATAATAACATTTCCAGCCTCACTTCTCTTCCATCCATTAGGGAAGATATTGTAGTTGATACATTATGTGATGCCGATGCCGAAGATGGACTGATAAATCCACACATGGGCCGCTGACTCCTAACTCCTTACTCCCCCAGACTGAGTTGATATTTTAGAGTTCTCATTGCTTTCTTGTTCACTGTCCAGTAGTCTGTTTTTGATTTATTCTGTCTTGATTGGTTCCAAAGGCAGATTGCCATCTGTTTTATCTACGTCGCTTTGAAGTTACGCAGTATCAGCATTTGCATTTCTTATCACTGATTCTGTTGTTAGGTCTGCCGAAAGTTATGTTTTCATGTACCATGTTGGATTTTCAATCTTTATTTTTTCTACAGAGAGAGATATGTACTGGCAAGAATTGGCCTACCCCATCATGGTGAGCTTTAGTGTTCCTCCAAGCAGAAAAGTAGGAGCAAAACATAATAAATTATCTTTTGACTAA